ATAAACGGTGACAGACAGCTGCCGACTGACTTATGTGGGTATGTACATAAGTTCAAGTTCGCGAATGATCGGCGGCTGCCGTGTTCTGACACGACCAGTGACCTACGAACCCCAGGTTAACAGATTACCATTGACCAGTGACCTGCCATAGGTGCTGAAGAGTGACCGGACGCCAGGTAGTGACCGGCGCGGTCACTGGGGTTGGACAATGACTGACCGGCGGGCGGCGCGATCGCGGGGGTCGCTCGGGCAGTGACCGGCGCGGTCACTCGGGTTTACCGGTGCTGGCACTCGACTGATGAGCCGAAATGGTCCCGTGCGCGCCACCGAGTGACGGCCAGGGCGGATGGTTCCGCCTGCGGTCGGCAGTAACTGCCCTAAGGAGCCGCCGGCCGCGCGCGCTCGTAAAGCGGCGCACAGAGGCGCGTGGGCGGCCGCGGCGTGCTGTCTGAACGACACCCATTCAGAGGTGCTCTGGGAGACGTCACAGAGACGTCCGGACGACCTCACCGGGAGGGATCCGACTGGCTGGGGAGGTCTACCTTACATACGACAGTAAAGAGAATGAGGTGTTTTATATTATATTGGGGGAGAAATACACGTGCACTCCGCAGACATTAAATATCGGTATAATCGTGTGGCCTGATCATTTATGACGTAGTTTGACGGTTGAATTCACTGAATCTTTACTGCACATACCTAGTGTTCATATCTGTAATGAAATTGACAATGCACACGAACAGGAAGAGGTATGCAAGTTTATCTTACAATGATTCGGTCACTAGGGCTTAACCCGCGCCCCGTAGGGCTATCGGCGGACCCTACCACCCATATGGGGGGGGGGGGGGGCGTTTCGGTCCCCCCTAAGATCTCGGAAATTTACCGGCCGATTTTCAAAATTCAAACGGCGTTCGATAGCCACACCCGGGAACTACCTTATGACCAAATTTCATTGACCCAGGTCAAAACCGATGACGTCACAGGTCAGGTCAAAGGTAAGATTTTCACCGTTCACAGGCATTTCAAGAAATGTGTTGTGAAATCGAGTAAATACTAAATTGGTAATTAATTGAAAACCATCGATGGTACATTGTTCTTCACACACATTCTTTGCTATCTGAGGTCACTTATACCAGGTCAGGTCACAGCGAGGTCAGGTCACCGGGGGTCACAATATGAAAGTGTCGTGTGATACATATTTTATGGTCCATTTTACATGACAAATGCGATTTAGTGAGTTAGATAGCCTTTGGGGCCAGCCTAGGTCACGTTTTGGTGAAGGTCAGGTCAACGTCAGGTCAAAAAAGGTCAAATTTCAAAATTTATATTTTTGCATAAATGGGTATTGATTCGATGCAGCTCGTCGCGGGGAGTCTGATGGTGGTCTTTGTTTTGCTCTACGAGGTCTAAAATTGCAAAAAATTGAGTTTGAAAATTTGACGTCATCATTTTTGAACAGTTTTTTCGCTATAACTTGGCCAAAAAACGAGGTATCGACCTGAAATTTGGTATGCAGATAGCAGACGGTAGGCACTATCACATTTATTCCGTTTTTTTCGAAACTCAAAAACTTTTTGGATTTTTTGGCTAATATATCCTAAAAATGCTTTTTTGATTTTTGGGGGTCAAAACTCTAAAATTTCAAAAATCCGAGATAGCAGTTTTTTTAGCCCTGTCAATTCTACACCTTTTATGTCTGATCATTTTTCGGTATCTTCAAAGCTGTAGGCCTGACAGGTCTTCTCGCGAAGGTCTTTTTTCGGTCGAAAATGGCAGAACATGACGTCATTCTGACGTCATTTGTGGCCAAACTATCATAGCCTCTGGAAAATTTTTTGGTCACAATGTGTAAAATTGATGCCCGGAGGAGTCCTGAAAGTTTGGTGGCGATATCTCCAGCCGTTTAGGAGATATCGACCGAAAAGGACAGGGGGGGGGCGTTTCGCCCCCCCCCCCACTACGGGGTGCGGGTTTTAACCCTCGCCGGCACAGGGGGGGGAGGGTTGATGCAACCCCCTAAGGTTTTTCGCGAATAACGCGCGTAAAAACCGGCCGATCGCGACGAAACTTTCAGTACCCTCGCATTGATCAATTTTACACCTACCCTGAAAATTTAATGACCTTGACCCAAATGACCTTTGACCTGTGACCTCTTTTCCGAGACCATGTTTGGCCGGAATCGCGATTCGGCGTATGTCGGCTGGCATTAGCCGCGCGTTTGCAAGCTTTTCGTGGTTTCAAACGTTCAAACATGTGATTTGATGTTGCTCCCATACATTAGGGTGGGTGCCAAGGTCACCTGAAGGTCAGGTCAGGTCATTGACCTTTGGTGACCTCGGGTGACCTCGGTTCACTTTTTCGAGTTTTACATGTTTCTAGGCTAGTTTTTGGAGCTGAATTCGAATTTGGCAACCATTTAAACATTTACGAAGTACCTATGTAGTTTTGATGCCTTCGTAACATGTTACGAAGCTGTCAGGGGCGGTTGACACGTATTACGAAAACCTGTCACAACCCCTACCAATTGACCTGACCTGACCTGACCCAACCTGGTCTAAATGCTTAAAGACATCATCTCTGATCAAAACTAGCACGATATTCGTGATCAGCACCCCGGAAAACCACATAGCAGCCACACTTTACGACTTCCTAACAGGTCCCGATTTTCCCAGTTTTCGGGTCATTGACCTGACCTGGAAGGTCACCCGATGACCTAGGACCTTAAAATTGGGTATCATCGGCTTCCTCTCGTGACAGGCAAGACGCTCGTTTTTTCCTCGAAGCTCTAGCTCGATCAGGGGCCAAACGCGAGGGGGGTCGTACCAACCCCCCCCCCCCCTTGTGCCGTCGAAGGACGCAAAATGGCCTGTGCCGGCGAGGGTTAAAGAACAAGTCGAAAGAGCTGTCGGCATTGAATGCACAATTCCACCGAGCCGAGGCATTGAGGCTCCCGGCGCTATATAACAACTCATTTGACTTATCAAACCAAATGTCTGATAAATTAGACTGATTATTCACGAGATGTCAATATGTAAGTCTGTCAGCATCGACCAGAATCAATTGGAAAACATATGGGACATATGATAAAACCGAAGGTGATAATAAACTTACATTTGGCCGTTGTCAAATAGTCATAGATTCGGAAGATCGAATGGTTAAAATTCACATAGTTTAGCATTCAATAGAAAAAGAGCCAGGTATCAAAACGTAGAACAATCAGTTAGCCCAAGTTTCAGTCGAGTGCATTCACCAGCACCGAAAAATATAATAAAAACATCGGAGGTAAGCATTACCCTGTAACCTCGCCGGACCTATTGGTTTTCTACATACGCGCCGGCCGAGGGGGGGGGGGGGGCGGGTACGACCCCCCTCGCCGTTTCACCCCTGGTGGAGCTAGCGCGTCGCGGAAAAAACGAGCGTGTGCGCCGTTACGAGACGCAGAGATTGGTACCCAATTTTAAGGTACTAGGTCAACCGGTGACCTCTGAGGTCAGGTCAAGTGCCCTAAGGTACGGTTCAGTTTTTGGTGAATAACTTCGCAAAAAACGGCCGCAGAGCCGCGATTTTGGCAGCATCGTGTTCGCCTCGCTCAGGCGCGTCGAATGATATACATTTTGTCCGGGTCAGGTCAACTTGGGATGGTGACCTCAGGTCAAGGTCAGGTCAGCACCCTCAGGTCACGAAGTTGTTTGAAAGAGGTCATGTCGCATGTCATTCGATTCGGCAGGTCTGTCTGAGTCCATTGGTGGCTTTCCCGACTCGCTAGCTCACTTTGATCAAGAGTTATTGACGAAAAACGAATATGACCTTGATGACGTCATAAATGACGTCACGCAAGGTCAACATTGCAAAAGTGACGCATCTAACCTTGCAAGGAGTGCATCAAATAACGATTATGTGTGCTTGAGATAGTTGGAGATCGTTCCCGGCGCCAGAATAGCAGTTTTCATTTTTCCCCATTGACTTATAATGGTGAGGTCACGAAAATGACCTGACCTCATATGACCTTTAGGAAAAATCCGAGATATACAAGTTGTGAGACTCACAATGGATACTAGATCCTGCAAGTTTCATTTCCTTGTGACATCTCCTCTGGCAGTGAGGGCGTTGCGAAGTTGCGACATCTGAAGACCGTGCAAAGGTTCACTTATGACGTCATAGGTCAGTGACCTGACCTGACCCAAAAATACGGTTGGTGTCAAAAGATCCGGCCTGAATCAAAGGTCAGGTATGCCAAGTTTCAGCTCTCTATCGCCAGCGTGTTCGGAGCTATCGCGAAAAAAAAAACTATGGGCGGGGGGGGCGGCACCCGACCCCCCCCCCCCACTCGGCCGGCGAGGGTTAAGAGGATATCAATTAATCCAACAGAATGGGCAATGATTAGACCAGGGCTGCGAAGCCGATGGATTTTCGGTGGCTTCGACTTTGACTCCGACTCCATCCCCCAAAATTTGCTCCGACTCCGACTCAAATCGGAACTGTCGACTCCGACAAATTCCGACTCCGACTCCAGCTAGACACCCCTGACTTAGACTGACTTAAACAAAGGTGATTTATGTCTTGATTGACACGTGTATTGTCCGCACAATGTTCCGTCGGTTAAGTGTATCGACGAATTGCGTGTCCACATGCTGTGCCTTTTCTTCACATAACTGTTCAAAGCGCCGGCCTTGCCTTCGTAGCACGCATGTCATAATACAAAACAGTAGTCAGATCACCTGTTGACGAAATTGAATAAAAAGGGGAAATGCAAAGGAGAAAAACACCGGCTAAAGTTACGGTGCAAATCCCAAGACAATTATGTTAGGGATAACAATAATCAGATACCTACCATGATAGCTACACGCGTATGTAGAAATGTGCTGGATACAGCTAACCAAGCATCAAGTAAGCAGCATGACCCCACATCGAATATATAAAAAACTAGGGCTACGTTGGTAGCAAAACCCCTTATAACCAGCCCAGGTGGGCATACTTGCAAGCTACCAAGCAAAAAAAAAAAAAAAAAAAACTAAGCTTATCAACTGACGAGGTCCTGATATACATGGCAGGCTCGTGAGATACAAAGCGAGATTCGTTTACAGCCGATGGGAAAATAATATCCAAACTTCAAACCACTGGACACGTCCCGGCGATTTTCACACTTCGCAGAGCTCGTACAAAAATGACTCCTTCAACTATCAGACCACACACATGGTGCCCTCTGCCGGCTCTCCAGCCCGCGCTACAGTGTGGCGATGCGGCTGACCTCTCCGGCGGGAAGGACGCCCTTCTCGGTAATGATACCGCCCGTGATCAGACTGGCCGGCGTGACGTCGAAGGCCGGGTTCCACACCTCGATACCTGCCGACACCCGTTAAAGGTCGGCGAGGGGAGGCGGGAGCTCAGAGGGCGGGAGAAGGCGACCACAGAGCCGAGACGGTTTATGAATGGGCATACACTGGTGTATAAATCAGAGTAAAGTGCAATAACAATTTAGAAATGGCTCCAAAGATCGGTGGTGCAACGGCTACTTTGAATATGGCTTTGGTCTGCCAGAAATCGTTACATAGGCCATCACTGACGCATAACATATATAAATATATCTAAATAGCATAATACGAGCACTGATCATCAACATCTTTATTCACAGAAAAACGCATCTATCACATGGCATAAAGCATAAGCCAGTTTACTTCTAGCGGCCGTTCAGATAACTACTACTCCTAAATACCGCCACCAGGTGTCAGCTCACCCTGGGCCGCCACGCGCTGGCCGGCCAGCTGCAGCATTTCGTCGGCGGGCCGCTCCTCGATGGGGATCTGGTCTCCGCTGGGCAGTCCCAGGTCGATGGAGGTGGCCGGCGCCGCGATATAGAACGGTACAGAGTGGTGAGCGGCCGCGATCGCCAGCTGAGGGTGCACAGACCGGGAGGGCGACGGTCAGAGAGAAAGGCAGGCTTATGCGGAAAAGTTGGAAGTGTAGACACAAACGTTACAATACGTTGCATACACCTTTTGCACAGGTTTGCTGCAACATTTAATAGTCAACTCCACAAGAAAGTAATATCCGAACTCAGTGATGTATTTCAACAGTAATTTTCGAGTCATCAGCATCTGTTCGTTCCTCAAAACCTCTACGCCTCTCTAGTTCACAGCTGGTAGCACAGCGCCCTCTGTTCCACTCCCCCTCTGCCCTTTCCTCCCTGCCTCTGGGCTCACCTGGTAGGTGCCGATTTTGTTGGCCGTGTCCCCGTTGGCCGCCACCCGGTCGGCTCCCTCTGTCCTCTGCCCTGCCTCTGCGCTCACCTGGTAGGTGCCGATTTTGTTGGCCGTGTCCCCGTTGGCCGCCACCCGGTCGGCGCCCACCACCACCGCCTGGACGCGGCCCGTTCGCAGCAGCGCCGATACAGCCGAGTCGCACACCAGCGTGGCGGGGATCGCGTCGTGCACGAGCTCGTAGCTGGTGAGCCGCGCACCCTGCATGTACGGCCGCGTCTCGGTGCAGTACGCCCTGCCTGGGGGGAGGGAGAGGGCAGAGGTTCAGTTGACAGCAGTGACACACGGCGGCGGGGCAGTGAACTAATCGGTACTGGCAGCGATGACACTTGCCTGTCTCTACCCGTAAAAATGACACTACTGACATATTACTGATGGTTGAAATAACGCCACATTGTCTCAGCAAAGCGACCTTGCTTTCAAGAAATTGTTCACGAATCGATAAAGTACCCACCACGAGCTAGTAAGTTTTCACAAGGTCTGATGACCGTACCGAGTCGTCACATACAGCCTGCCGCAGTCTGTCGCACTGACTGCCGAGTACCGTACCGAGTCTGTCTATACTCTAAGCCCGCACCGCATTTGTGACCATGCCCAGTCTGTCGCAGTGACTACCATGCCCGTCCGCTCAGTCCGTCTACGCCCGTACCGAGTCTGCCGGCGGCGTGCAGGGAGCGGATGACGCCCAGCGCCGTGCCGTGCCCGGCCGTAGCCAGTGATCCCGTGTTGCAGTGGGTGAGGACGGACACGGGGCTGCCGGCGGCCGCCGAGCTCAGCAGCGCCGCCGCGCCGTGTTCGCCGATCGCCCGATTATCGGCCACGTCAGCGGCCAGCATCGCCTCGCAGGCAGACACCACGCTGTAGTACCGGGACAGGCCGGCGCGGATGGGAGGTCAGAGGGCCAGCATCGCCTCGCAGGCAGACACCACGCTGTAGTACCGGGACAGGGCGCGGGGAGGTCAGAGGGCCAGCATCGCCTCGCAGGCAGACACCACGCTGTAGTACCGGGACAGGCCGGCGCGGATGGGAGGTCAGAGGGCCAGCATCGCCTCGCAGGCAGTCACCACGCTGTAGTACCGGGACAGGCCGGCGCGGATGGGAGGTCAGAGGGCCAGCATCGCCTCGCAGGCAGTCACCACGCTGTAGTACCGGGACAGGCCGGCGCGGATGGGAGGTCAGAGGGCCAGCATCGCCTCGCAGGCAGACACCACGCTGTAGTACCGGGACAGGCCGGCGCGGATGGGAGGTCAGAGGGCCAGCATCGCCTCGCAGGCAGTCACCACGCTGTAGTACCGGGACAGGGCGCGGGGAGGTCAGAGGGCCAGCATCGCCTCACAGGCAGACACCACGCTGTAGTGCCGGGACAGGGCGCGGATGGGAGGTCAGAGGGCAGGCGGGAAAGCGCGAGAGCAAGACGCACCAACATGGAGGACGAATCGCGAAGTACGGCTTCTCAAATTGATGGGGCAACGTAGTTATTTGCTTTCGAGGCATAAGTAGCTACTCGAACTGCTTGCGTGGGACGCAACTTTCTTTTTACACACAGATACTACAAGAAGTTCAGAGAGTATAGCACAGTGAAGCACACCCATTCAATCAGCAGTGAACATACCCGTTTAAATTCCTCGGTAAAACTCTCAGCTAAATCCCCAGACTATCGCCTCCCCCAGCTCCCTGCTGGCCTGTCCCTCAGTTTGTCCACGTCCCCCTCCCCCTCCACTCCAGCTGGCCGACTGACCTGTCCCTCAGTGACCCCCTCCCGCCCAGCTGGCCGACTGACCTGTCCCTCAGTTTTTCCACTCCTCCGCCCCCGCTCTCTGCGCTCTCCGCCAGCTCGATCAGTGTGACAGCCGCCTTCTTCAGGTTGACCGCCGTCGGCCGAGAGGTGATCAGGTGCGCCAGTCTCTGCCGCACGTGCGCCAACAGCGCCGCGGACGTCTCGAACTGCCGGCCGGTGGTGAGCTCCACCGCCAGACTCAGGCAGCCCACGATGGCAATGGCGGGCGCGCCGCGCACCTGAGGTCACGGGAAGGTCACAGGTCAGGTCACATATTAGGTAACAGGCCAGGTCACAGGTCAGGTCACAGGCCAAGTCACAGGCCAGGTCACAAGCCAAGTCGCAGGTCACCAGAATGGCTACAATTATGAGCTGAATCACGGATTGGTCCATTTTGGTCAGAGGTCACTAATATACGTACACACAATCCACATACTTGATACTAGGCATAAATCCAATCCGCCAGTTTGTTTGATGCTGGCATCAATAACGGTCGGCCCCCAGCGCCAGCGCGTTGTACCACATGACCTCGCCCGTCCCGGCCAGATCTGACACAGATCGGGAGTCCGGGGTGACCACGGATACACAAATACTCCGCCTCCCACTTCCCACTAGAGACGCCTCTATAACACAGTGACAGGCCATCGATTCCCACCTGCATCTTATTGATGACGGCCCATCCGGCGTCGGCGTCCGGGACGGGTATGTAGACGGTCTGATGAGGCAGCAGCAGCTGGTCCAGTACCTCCAGCCGGCCGCGCGAGTAGCGGATCGCCTCCAGAGTCATGGTCTCAGCACGTCAGGGCAGGTCACACCACCTGAGGGCGCACGCAAAAACAGGAGTCAGCACAGCAGATTATCCCGGAGTGGTCGTCTGTTAAAAGCCCGTGATTGAAATCAACAGGCTGGCTGGTCGAGACGGGCAGCGACCGGGTTCGAAGTCGATTGGATTACGGGAGTAATGGCCTCGCTATGGACTTTGAGCCACACTATGGGATTAAACAGAATTACGGCCGGTAGTACAGCACCAGTTATGGATCTGTGATTTACGAGTAGGCTTCGGGAAATATCAGTACTCCGCGATGCCCAGAAACGACTCGGACGACGGTCCGTCCCAGCTCCTGTGGTCTGACTGGCTTGGCAACAGGCTCCGGCGGCGGGCGGCGTCTGTCTGCCGCCTAGGTCTACTGGGCGGACCTTGAGCCAAATCCCTCTGTCCTCCAGACGCATGCATGCGACCCACGCGTGGCGCTTTTCCGTAAACACCGGCGGGACGGGGGCGAACGCGGCACATCCCAGCCCCGTCCGACCCGCCACACGGGCGGACAAAACACAGCGTGGGACAGACACCGGACACCGGGCTCGGCCCGGCCTCCCTGTCGGGACCACCGGCGGTCCCCCGCCGCCCGCCCCAGCCTGCACACGAACCCCGACACACCACAGAGGCGGCGCCCATACGACAGCGTGTATTTACATCCGTCCGCGCCCCGTCCGCCGCGCGGGGAGCCCGGAGCGCACGGGCCGGTCAGACCGCCAAAGTCACACTCATTAGCGCGGAAAAACAGCACCGTTATGGCCACAGGGCCGGCCGGCCGGCTGGGCCAGCACGGCGGCATGATAGCGTTCATACACGATATACAACACAGTTAATGTTTCATATTGCAATAAAGCAGGGCAGCCGGCTGCAACGTGCAGGCTGTTGGCAGGGTGATACGGTAAACGGATACGGTGGATCTGTTGCTCGATAATGGCGTCAGGGCTAAACAGAACTAGATAAACGCAATCAATGATTACATATGCATATTGCAGCTGATGACTATTATAAATTATAATCATGACTATTTTGATCAATTAATTGTGAATCATGCAAATAACATTAATACAATTGCAACAACTCGCAAAGATACAGAGTCGTGATAAAATCACACCAATACGTACGACACTCGTACGCCATCACACCCTAAAACAGTCAGTCCACTGACTTTCACCGCCAATCACACATAACTCACTGCTTACTACACTAAATACTATCAGCCGATAGTTCGGAAAATATGTGACTTCGTATGATTTGACGAAAAATCAATAATACTGATCTACTTGGCACAAAGGCTATCTATGTCTCACCAATTTCACTTGTTTTTAATATAGTCTAAAAGGATAACCGACCCCGTACTTCCCTTATGTAACAGCCCCTTAGCAGTTTTGCATAGGTTTTGATCAGTGTAAAAGTCAGGAAGTGGGCTGGTGGCTCTAAGATAACCTTCAATGAGATTCTTATCTGCGCAGAAGCGACGGATCACGGAAGACACATCAGCTACCCACCGCCTTTTCAGGCAGCAACGACGCTCAAAAAGCGAGCAGCGTCGTTTTCAAACTAGAAAAGCCTGCACCACAAGCGCAACACTCACACGAGTTGACAGACTTCAGCGGCCTTTCAGCTCTTTGAACACCAGCGCGCTCTAAGCGCTCGGTTCTGCCGGTGCCCGGGCGGCGAGAGCGGCAGCCACGTGTCCCTCTCGGGGCCTCGGGGATGGTCGGCGGTGCCGCCGCGGCGACCTCAGGCGGGGACGGCGGCGGCCGAGCGCAGCAGCGGCGTGGTCTCCGAGTCGGTGAGCGGACTGGAGTCGGCCGGCGGGCCGACCAGGCCGCTCGGGTCCGGTTTACAGCAGCCGCTCCAGAAGGTGAGCAGGCGGAACAGCAGCAGCTCGTCCTCGTCCTGGCGGTACACGCCCGTCGCCGGGTCGTGGCGGCGCACCTGCATAAACTCGTCCAGCGGCGTCTGCGGGAAACCCTCCTGGTAGTACGTCTTGATGGTCTCGTACGAGTCCATGATGATGGAGATCATAAGACTGAGCACCAGGTAGATGAAGAAAAAGACGAAGACGTAGACGTAGAACTTGGAGAACCAGTAGACTAGCATCGACCTGCGGGACGTCTGCGCGAACGTGGCGAACATGTCGTCTCCGTTCATCAGCGAGAACAGCGTCTCCGAGGTGAGGCTGAGCGTGCGGAACTTCATGTTGTACGGGTTGAGGATCAGCCAGCCGCAGAACAGGAAGCCGGCGTAGCAGATGAGCGCACACACCGAGAAGCGGAGCACGCTCGGCAGCGACTTGCGCACGGTCAGGATGAGCACGTTGTAGGCGCTGAAGAAGCCCAGGTAGCGGAGCACGCCCACCCAGACCAGCAGGTTGCCGATGCCGAGCATCACCGAGCAGACGTTCCACGTGCCGGCGTCCACCTGGTAGTCGCCGAACTTGTTCTCCAGCTGGATCTTCATCAGCGACGCCAGGATGATGAGGCCGTCGTTGATGATGATGAGCACGTACCACAGGTTCAGGAAGCGCAGGTGCTCCTCCGTGGTGAGCGAGTAGTCGAAGAACTTGCGCATCACCTGGTCGGTCTCCTGTCGGAGCAGCTGGGCGCGGTACAGGGCGCGCACGCACATCACTAATGACACGGCGCACACCACGATGACCAGCACATTCACCAGCGTGAACAGCACCTCGATCTCGGTGTCGTCCGTGCGGAACTCGACGTCGCCGTCGCAGCGGCGCAAACTCGGCTCTACGTTCATCGAGAGCAGTATCTGGCCGTCCTGGTTGCTGTTGTCCAGAGTCACCGTCACGTTGAAGTAGTAGCAGTCCGGAACGTCCAGCGGCATCACCAGCTTCAGCTTCACCGCGTTCAGGCCCAGCGAGAGTCGCGTCTCGCTCAGGCTCGAGAAGGACACGTTGAAGTCGTGCTCGCGCATGTAGCGCTTGCTGGAGACGTTGTGCGCCACCAAGTCGGCCTCGGTCGGGCGCACCACCAGACAGCGCGTCTGCAGGTGCTCGTCAAAGCGGTACCACATGTCGGCCGGCCGGATGTCGGCCACGCGGTACTCGTCGACACAGAGCTGCGACACGGGACCGCTCGAGGCCGGGTAGTCCACGCCGGCCGTCGACAGGTTCCTGATGTCGTAGTAGGCGTTGATGGCGAAGTCTAGCGCGGCGAAGTAGTCGGCCTGCGCGTAGACGGCCAGCGGTCCGATGGCCGGCGGGTAGGCGTTGACCTCCCGGCTGACGTCCCAGCCACGCACCAGCAGGTGCTGCAGCGACACCTGGCTCGTCTGCAGGTAGGTCACGTGCGAGAAGCGCCGACTGGCGAACAGCGTGAGCTGCAGCGTCACCAGCACCACCTTCACCAGCTGGATGGTCAACTTGTAGGGAGGCCTGCGGCGCGCGCGCCACTTGTCCAGCGGGTTCATGAAGAAGAACTGCAGCTTGCGGCGGGTGCGCTCGCCGGCGGCGCGCTGGTGCGGGTCCGGCGAGTTGATGCGCTCCCAGCGCTCGGAGCCGGAGCGCGGCGGCGTCTGTGTCATCTCCTGTGGCACGTTGAGCCGCAGGCCGGCGCTGGCGGCGCCACTGCTGCCGCGGCCGTCCCTGGGGGCCGGTCCGCGCGCGCCGGCCGCCAGCAGGTCAGACACCTCTGCATCCGTGAGCGACTCCCGGGAGCGCGAGAGCCGACGGCCCGGCAGCGGTGACGGGCACGGACTGTGCGCCAGCGTGGCCTGCATGGCAGCCCGCGCAGCCGGCCGAACTCGGCGCCGTCTTCAGCCGTCAGGAGTCCGCCGGCCGAGCCAGCGCCAACACCTGCAACAGTTAGATGCATTGACATACATGGTCTATACAACTCAGCCAATTAACGCCTACTCACAACTCAAACTACATGAAAATTGAGAAAAGCGTCAGCTATCAAAAAGTAAGACAACCGATGAGACTGTCGAAGTCATGGCGGTATTACGAAAGGAACAATTTATTCCCCAGCTGATTATAGTTCGACCGACCCGGCTCTGCGGATGTCATTCCAGCCTGGAGACGCTTTGCCCAGCGAATCATTGTTAAAAATGGCATGCAACGCGGTAGTAAAATGAACTACATCCAATAACTACCTACATAGCACACCTAAGTTCAATCAAACATTGCAGCAGAGATCCCATTTACGTCAAAGTACGCAGGGCTAATCCCGAAATCGCTGTCATTCACCGGTATTACCGAAGCCAAGAAATATGCGCTGAGCCGTAATAAAGCCAAGAGCATTAAACTCTAGCATTTCGTCCGAGCAGGCTTTATTGTGCAACTCCCTCTGCAATTAGTCAACTACACACGAACATGCTTGTTACAAAACGCGGAGACCTCCCCCAGTTACTTGATCGGCGGCCATGGACGAGCAGCCGACCCTCCGAATTACAGACCCTGGCCAGCTGCTGGAGTTGACAGAGACCGGCCGGAACCCAACTGGGTCACCGGCGGCGACACGACAGAGCGCCGCCGGATGCAGAATGTGGACGACATGTGACACAACAGACAGACACACGGTGTCCAGACCCAGGCCAGGCATCGAGCACACCAGGACAGGAAGGGCGGCCACCGGACCGAAAACAGAGCTACAGCTAGCCTTGAGCACAACAGCAGCAGCAAACTGGGCTGCTCCAAACCAACGCCAGACGAAAGCCAGAATTAGAACCTATACTGATCCAATCCAGAGTCCAGACTGCGCTCCTTGGGTAAAACACGGTAGAATACGCATCATCTATTACCATGCTTAGTTGACGAGGGGAAAATTGACCAAAAGGGTACCTCTGGACGACTATGACTCCAACTATCAGAGAACCGAACTTTAAAGGATTCAAAGAGAGCCTAAACAAAAAAGGTGTAAAAATCTGGTACAAATGTCAAATGATCGTGTCTAAGGCGCGTGCATAGTTCCTGCCCAAGTTTCACTTACTTCGGGATGCACTAGTGGTCAATAAAGTTCCAAGCGATCGTCCATAGCATTAGAAATAAAACAAACTCGTTTTTTTTTTTTTTTTGGAAGGCCCAATAATCAAAAATCACAGCGATATCAAGACAATAACCAAACAAAGATCTTTGGACCAAGAATTTCAAACTTCGTTATAATCGTTATTTAACAGCAGAATGCATTTAGCAGGATAACATGGTGGCAAATAATCAAATTTACCGACAATGGGTGAGCGGTGTTCTAACAAACCGCTCTTTGTCAGTACCTAGGCACTGCAATCGACAGGCAAAATGATATCTCTAAGTGCTCGCCAGACAGGCTCCATATTCGGCAGCCAAAAGACACACAATGCAGATTCAAACCAGTTTCGACCCGGCACACCCAGCTGGATTCGACCGGCCCACATCGAGCGCACCGTTGGATTGACAGTCGCGGATTACCCGGGTTCCATCATGCAGCCGGTCGCTCCATCCAAATACCCAAGCATGCCGACCCGCCAGTGGCCAGTCCAGATAGCCGCCCGTCAGCCCACGTACCACTGTTTGTCGGCCGCACACCAGACCACGGCGCGCACACTGGATCCGGCGGGACAGGCGACGGGCCCACTGACGGCCACCCACGCTCCTCCGCCCTCCTCGCCGGACGCCGCTCCAACACGGAACAAGAGCGCCGTGACGCCCAGGGAGCTGGACAGGACGCCTGGAGGTTCTACCCCTCCTCACGGCACCGCTCGACGATGAGAAACAGCGGTCTTGGCTCGGGTCTAGCGCGGCGCTGACGCGTCCCCGGGCGGCGGCGGCGCGCAGCGGCGACTGAGGGCCGGCCGCAGACCGGCCGGGCCGCCCTCCCGCCGCCCCCCCCCCCCCCTCTACTCCACCCCGGGCCGCGGGCCGGCTCCGACAGGACGAGTTGCGCCGCTCCCTCGCCCGCCGAGCGCAGCACGGCACGACGGTGACGGTGCGTCCCTGCACGGTGGACAAGTAGTAAACATGGTTACCTTTCAATCTAAATGAGAATAACGCAACACTTTTCGTTCATAACTATGACCTAGATTTATCAAACAATAGACAGCTTATAGGTGACACGAAATTCAGATGAAGCAGACGAGAAAATCAGTTTACCTTTTTTTTTACTAAAAATCCGGTAAATACCAAACCGAAGTGAACTTATAAAGTCACAACAAACTACAGCCTTATTTACCTAGTTTTTCATGAAACAATAGGCAGAATTTCCTGAAAATAGGTGTGGACAATGGACCATGCAGGGTGAGAGTCAGGCCATGCTATGGGCCTCCGTAGCACAATAGAAACAACTAGGTACAGCCCTCTGCAAACTGCGTGGTAGGCATTTTTTTTTCGACAAAAACGAGAATAACGCGAATACTATGCTAACGGTCATTCGGAAATCGTAACAGCAACACGCGTGGGACTCCGCACCTTAGGTTGGGTTGGCATCATCACCGCATTCATTTTCCATCTAGTTCGGCAGCAAAACCCGAGAGTTTATATTTGCCCCCAAAACAAACATTGCATTTTGCTGCCACACAAGGCGCATAATTTGTTTAGTGATAGACATAATCGAAGGAGTGGAGCATGGCGCATCTATTTGCAGTGAGTTCTGACCGACTGATAGCATAGCCTTTGAGTTTTTATCGCTTTTGTCGAAAAAAAAACCTACCAGTACCACGCAGTCTGCCGAGGGCTGTACAAGCAATTAAGCAGCCAAAGGAATCCCTGCACAGTTACCTAAGGAAATGTTACACATGGTAGTGATGGTACCTAGCTATACATTTGTGACCTTTCCATTTCATCATATTATAGGAAAATTAGCAATACTGTTTATGAATGTTCATGAATTTCCCGCGAGCCTTTTAAGTACATGGCTCCAGATTCATATAGTCTTGAATTCAGTGTCCCAAAATTGCATTCTGGCTTGGGTGTTGGAGGGGAAAATTTCTCAGCAAAAAGGGGGATGTGAGTGGAAAATTGCTGGTCAGACAAGGCCCAAAAAGAGTGATAAAAGGATAGGTCCCATAAATTGTTATACGAGTGTGGTAAAATGTACGATGCAAAATGGCCATCCTCACAATGCTTTTCTCGGTAGGTAAAGCTGAGAGTAGAAAATTGCTATAATTTACTCTTCAAAAACAAAGCGTGCTTCCAATTTTATTGAAATGTTGAAAATTTTATTATGGATTTTTTTTTTAATCAATATTGTTTTAAGGATCATGCTCTCTTCATATTGGATTTCAGTGTACATGAACAACTGGGTACATTTGACCATGCAATTAACCCGCGCCGGGCCGGTGCTCCGAGACTTACGCGCCGGGCCGGGGGGGGGGGCCTGAACACCTCCCCCTTCTAACTCGGCTCCTGGGCCACGTAGCGACACGCGGTAAGCGGCAATCGAAAGAACGTCCAAAATAAAGTTGAAAACACTTCGGTCGTTTTTTGGGGTCAGGTCAAAGGTCAGGTCACCAGAGGTCACCAAAGGCAAAATGTTGGCTATTTCAACATTTTGGAGACTGACAACGGCTAACTCGAGAACCGATAGAGCTACAGCGCCGCAGAAAAGCGCATTCGATAGCTCTTTTAACGCTCTTTCGCCAGCATGTCCTCAGATTTGACCTCAGGGCAACGGTTTAGCCTCCAGAGGGCAAAAACTCCCAAAATAGCCGTTTTTACGAAAAGTGTTTTTTTTTCGGCAATAACTTTTGACTCAAAAGAGCCACGACGTTACTTTTGCCAGCATCGTGTTCCTCTCGTCGAGACGCTTCGAATGAACTATAATTTGACCTTAAACAGTCAACTTAAAAATTTGACCTCAGGTCAAGGTCATGACCTGACCGGAAAAGGTCATGTTGCATAACAGTCGATCCGCATCGTCGAGTCGAACACAGATAAGGCGTTTTCATCGCTCTAGCATGCCTCTATCAGAAGTTATTAGCGAAAAACTGTTAGATACTATTCATGACCTGAGATGACCTCGGGGCACATAACGAGGGGTCACAGGTGCCATTTTCCGGTTCATTGTGTCAATTTTACCTGTATCCCGATGTTTGAGAGTGTCTAGAATGGCGTTCGTGCAAAAGAGACGCTTTTTAATTTTCTCCCATTGACTTACAATGGAGAGGCCGCAAAATTGACCTGACCTTATGTCACCGAAATCAAAATTCCGAGATATACGTTTTAGAGATATTGTTACTCTTATCAATCACTGAAAGTTTCAAGGCAATCGTTCAGTCGGTGTAGCTATGACGAGCATTCCAATTTTTTTCTGAGGTGAGGTCACTTGGCATGACCTGATCTTGAGAGACCTGGGTCTGAAATTTTCACAACATGTGCAGAAAACATGGACAAACAGCCAACAGGTGTGCCAAAAACCACAGGGGGTGTTCAAACACCTCCCCCACAGCTTGGCGCGGGTTAAGGTGTGAGGAAGAAAACAAATTTTAAAAAATCATTTGAGACACTGTATGATGGTACTAAGTAACTACTGAATGTTGTAATGACATGTTATAACTTGGTTTCAGAACCAATGAAAGACTTTGTCAGAAACATAATAGTTTTGCATTTGAATTTTGGAATATTTTAGATTTAGAATAATTTAGCCTGCACCCAGCTGAGGCACCTGAGACCTGAGTTCTGAATTTCCACATCATGCTTATTTTTTCTTTTAACACAACCCTTCTAACTCGATCCCTGGGCCACATAGCACTATCAACACACCATAGGTGGCAATTGGCATTCAAGTGCCAAAAGGAAAGAACCTTCGGTCACTTTATGCGTCAGCCGTCAGGCCAAAGGTAAGGTTCCCAGGAGTCATTGAAGGTAAGGCATTGCCAATATCCAGTTCAAACTTCCACAATTTTAGAAAAAAAAAACAGTGCATAGCTCAGTGCTCACAGCCTCATAATACAAATTATCATCCTCAACCTATGAGGGCTATTCGGGTCTCTGCAAGTGCAGCAATAGCATAGGTCTGTGCTGCGTGCGTGCGTCATACTTGGGTGACGTCACTGTCAGCCTGCAGCCGCCTGGCTCCACCCACTCTCCGCCAGCACGCCACGGTCGAGCGGCACTGCAGCCTACTCCATTTGTGGTGAACCGTGGCGCGGGTGAGTGGGCCGGTGATTGTCGCTCAATAACAGTTAAATTGCATTCAAATGTGGTTAAGAGCAATGTGCCACTGAAAAGTGATAATGATACTAAAAAAACAGCACACAAACCGCTTACAATAAGAAATAATAGACAGTGAACTTAAATCCAGCCACTTTCGTCTCCTACAGGCTGCAGCACCAAATTTCCAGCTGCAGGAAAGAGAAGTATGCTTCAGTAGGTGACGACACACAGGCGATGATGCTGTAGTGGTGTGGGCTGGACTAACGGGTCACATAGCCCTCACTGCGCATGCACGCTGCAGCATATTTCATTTTGGCTGCACTCGACGCCCTCTCACTCTGGTCCTCTGGTAGGTAAGTAGCAAATACCAGAGGTTGGTGGTTAGGATGCCAGATTTCAGGTAAATTGTATACAGTTATTTATCGTCAAGTAAGAAGTAGGGTTATGTTTGTAAGGTTTATTAGCTAAATAAACCAAAAAATAATCAGATTATATTACTTGGCATGCCAAATATAACACATGCGACATTTGATGCGCAGAGCAACGGGTGCTTAAAAAGGATTTACCATTCACGCACCCTTATCTGAATAATCCCATAAGGAGGAGAAACTCACAAAGCAGGGCAGCAGGTATCCACAAGTGTAAATATCAAAGTAATATCAACGACGCCCCATTACCCAGCCCGATCGATCACACTCGCCTTTTTTTCGCATTCAGTTTTTTTTTCAAGCTCAGCGAAATTCTGCCTTCACCCAAGTTTTTACTTGCGCCTTATTATGACGTCATTAATAAGATATGATCGATTAGAGATCTTCAATATATCTTTTAAACTATTTCAATGTACGGTGGTGTGGTACATGTGTGGTAGGCATAATGCACCAATAATGATAAATATTAAGTAGCCTACCCCGCCTACCCTACGAAATAATGAGGTGCATAATGCATTGCGGTCTGCACTTCCTTCTTTAAAGGGACACTCCCACCTTAACATTAGTTTTGAGTTGAGATAGCCAAATTGGTGGCCATGGCCTGCAAATACCGGTTTGGGCACTCACAACATCGACAAATGCTTTAATTCGGAGATATGGAATTTCAAACTTGCAGTTTTCGGATTCTAAGGGGCTAGTGCATTGGTATGCCCCCTTAGAATTTGTGACGTCAGCGGAGATCTAACGATTTTTAAATCTTTTACTAAAACGTTTGGTAGCACGCGGTGGTATATGCTGCTTTGCGCGCAACAAATGCCGCACATTCAAATAAAGTCGCTAGGAACAGCGGAGATCCCAAAAAGTAAACAAAAGTAAAAGTCTAATATCTTGAAAACCGGTGAATATTTTTCGATGAAATTTGGTAGATATTCGTTTTCGCTCTTTCTGAACCGAGCGACATCACTTTCGTGCCAATTCATTAACTTTTTTGAAGGTGGGAGGGTCCCTTTTAACCCTCGCACGACCAGGCCATTTCTCATAACACGAACGACCAGGGGGGGGTTGTTACGACCCCCCCCCTGGCGTTTCGAAACGGAAGGTCGTAGAGCTTAGCGGAAAAAAACAGCGGATTGCTCTCAACGAGATCTCGCGATTGGTGGTATATTTTTTGGTCCTAGGTCAACATTTGACCTACTTTTGACCGGTCAAAGGTCAAATTTTCGGAAAAATAGACTTTTTTCAACTTTCGGCGGCGATTGCGGCAAAACGGTGCAAGATATCGACTTGAAACCTTCACTATCGTGTTCCTTGATCAATTCTCTATCGTTTGGTATGTATTTCGTTTCCCTAGCTCTAAAAATGGCGCGTTGGGAGCGCCGGAAGTCGGCAAGGTCACAGTCGACGGCAGAAATTCGAAAAATCAAAATTTAAATTTTTGAAATCTGATTGTATTTTTGGATTTGGGAGGTCCATTTGCTCCCTATAGAAGCTAATATTGCTGCATATTCCCATTGAGGTGACAAGAATTAGCAAAATAGTGGTTCGGGCGCTTTTCAAAAATAGTACCGGACGCTGTTCCTCTTGTGACGTCATAGCTCCGTGACCTGACCTGACCCGGTCAAATTTCTTATACCATATGATAGCCAATACTTGCCCCAACATGCATGGGAAGTTTCATCACGATCCATCAAGCGATGTCCGTACCACCGGCAGGAAACCTCGGGCGTTGGCACTCAGTTTGTGAAAATCCGGCCGGAGGCTGTACCTCTTATGACGTCATAACTCCGTGACCTGGGCCCTGTTTCACCGGTGATAGCAGCACGCTGCTATCACGTTTCGCGAGCTGACGTCATGTCGTGACGCCATACTGTTGACGTGATGGGAAGTTCCGGCGCACGATTGCCGCGACCTTGGCCGCGGCATCAAGTGACGTATGAGCCTCTAAAAGTAAGAGGTTACGCAGTCATGGTAGTATATTTATTTTTAATGTATATTTTCTAATATAATGTATTTAAAAGAAGTTTGGTTTAAGGAAAATTTGGACGTAAACTTCGAACATTTAGTTGATGACGTAAAACAATTTTGCGGCAATCGTGCGCCAGAATTGCCCCTTACGTCAGCAGTATGACGTCATCACATTACGTCAGCTCGCGCAATTTGATAGTAGCTTGCTGCTATCACCGGTGAAACAGGGCCCTGACATGACCCGATCAATTTTTTTCGGCAAAAGATGCGCAAAGGTTGCCCCAGAGGGTACTGAAAATTTCAGCCCGCTACGACAAGCCGCGTTTAGCGTGCACTTCGAAAAAACCTCAGGGGGGGTTGATACAACCCCCCCCCCCTAGGCGTTCTAGGGTTAAAGGAAAAGGGCCACCTTTAACATGGGGATTGAAACTGAGATAGCCATCTTGTAGCCCGTGTCCGAAAACCTTACTGTCTACCTCCTTACGGCCGATTTCGGCCTCCATTCGTAGTTATCGGCAATTTTAAAAGAAAATACGCCAGGAATGCGTCCTTATCCCAGGAATGCGTTCTTATCCGACAATACAGCCACCCGCGGCGAGGCTTTGGTTTTTTACCAATCAGCTCCAACCAGCTGAGCTTTAACCAATCAGCTTATCTGACACAATCCGACGAGTCTGTCTTCTGAACGCTGATTGGCTTGAGTGTGACGTCATCGCTATGCCATCATACAGTAGGTGTCGTAGAGAGTATCAACATAGTACCAATATGTTAAATAGTTTTAAATACTTTTTCGCGAATTGTGCACTTCTGGCACCAGTTTTAAAAAGAAAATGAAAAATAATGTCAAAATGAAAAACAACGATATCTTCATATTTCACGAAGGTGGCCCTTTTCCTTTAAATTCATTCATTAGTCAACAATCGTATGATTTTTTTAAAGCATTCATATTTCTTGTCTGTCCATCTCATCTACCTGATCTACCTGCAACACACTGAAACTCGCGAATCTGCTGATGGCAGCCAGACATTCGATCGGGCCGAATATGTTGCCGTACCTATAGCTGCTACCTGCTTTGGCTGTGGATTCGCCGGACGTCTGTCTACCAGCACCAGATTCAGAAATTCGCCAGCCCAGCCTCGAATCTGCTGCTATGACAGCAGATTCGCCGGATGTCGGTCTGCCAGCAGCAGATACAGAAATTATCCGACCCTAAATATGCGACCACTGGCAGCGGATTTGCCGAACGTCTGTCTGCTAGCAGCAGATTCGGGATGTGATGCAGTGGAGACGCACGGCAGCATGTCCGTGAATCTGCTGGTCGTATTTCCAACTATCCCAGCCATGAGTTTCTTGTGCTGAAGAGTGAAGGTCATGAACCTTGAACCTTGAGTCTGATTGAAGTGCCATTTATTTGAGGTCGTGGGCCGTTACCAATCTGCGTTCACCAGCTCCAGATGCCAGTGGTGACTGGTGATATGCAGGCGGTTACTCCAGATCCATTCCGCAAACACCGCGGCACCGCGAACAGTCTTGAGCTTTGCACCCGCAGCCGTTTTGGACCTGACCTACCATTTGCCCATATCATCATACAGAAGACGGTGGATTCAGACAAGGCTATGTAGACCGATACGGGTTAGAACGTCTATGGCCAATGCAGTCCGGGCGCATCTCCTCGCCATCATCGGAAGGTTACAAAGAACTAAGCACAAACATGTCAGAAGGTAAAGTTTATTCACAGGCCTCAGCATTCACCTCGAGCTTCAACAGTTTCTTTATAAACGCAAGACGTGCACCACGACTGATTCTCAACAAGTGCGTCTAACCTGGCCCCACTTCCCGCCACACAATGCTGAATCTAAATCTGTAACGAGCGTGCATCGACACAATGCATGTGGAAAACTGACCAGCAATCAATGCCTACGCGCAAAGGATAAAGTATGTACATAAAATTTACGACAATTCGACGGCCCAGTACTGGACTGCGTTTACACTCTTTACATAACATGCATCATAAGAAAGACTTACAAGCAACTAAGATCAACAAACATTCGAAAATACAGCCACTACGAGTCAGTGCAGCTCGTTGATATTAACTATACGTTACCGAGTTGCTTCGCTCGGTACTTAAATTAGCTTAGTGCTACGTGGCAGCATCCATGAACCTTTCGCTCCAGAAACAAAACTCAAAGCACTTCTGTGCGGGGGAGTAATCATGGCCTCTCCAATCCTCGCTCCTAGTCCGCGGCCCGTCGCCGTCATCGGCAGCCACCCGTGGCCGTGGTCGTCATCAGCACCCATCCGTCGCCGTCATCGGCACCCAGCCGTCGGCCGTCTAGCGGTATTCGGGCTTGACTGGCGCCGTGTCCTGGCGGCTGAGCGGTGCCGGCGGCGCCTGCTCGGCCAGCACCGAGCGCCGGTAGCGCAGCAGGGACTCGCGCGCCTCCACCAGGTATCGGTACATCGCCGGGTCGTCCGCCTGCCAACAGAATTACACAGTCAGAACAGCCGCCACTAGAAACGTATCAGCACCGGAGACAAGGTGGGGACAATCCATACAGAGCAAAAATGTCTCACTCTTCACTCTTCAGGGTCATGACTGAACAACCCAATAAGTATTTATCTATCAATAAGTATAAGAGTTACTGAAACCAAGTTATCAATAAGTGTAAGAGATTTCTAGATTCATTGCATGGCTTCAAATAACAAAAGACGACCGAAAAACGAAGTACATACATTCTAAATATACTTGACAAGAAAACAAAGCAACGCACTAACAACCCCCCCCCCCCCATTCAGTGGTGAGCCTAAGGCGTTATCGTTATCACTCGTTATCAGTCGTCGATTGGGCATATTCCACATGATATCGCGCGTCGGCCGGGTGCCACAGCTCTGAGCCGTCCGGCGCGGCGCGCCCACGTACCACCACGTAGAGCTGCTGCTGGCCGTTGGAGGGTGGCGGCGGGGACGGCTCGCGGCGCGGCCGTTTGCTCGCCTTGGGCTGCGCCTGCTCGGAGCCCTTGCGCTTCTCGTCGGCGCGCCAGTCGCGGTGGGGGCAGCGGCACACCTTCACCTCCACGGCCTGTCTGCCGAGTGTGCGGCCCGAGGCGCGCTCCTCCAGCGTCAGTACCAGCATCAGCCGCCGACGGTTGATGCCGCCCACGCAGGTGTTCATACAGGCGAACTTGAAGAGCACCTGGTAGTGGTCGGTGCCGGGCTCGGGCGCCTCCAGCGGCACGGTGACGCTGCACCGCTCCTGCTCCACGTGGTAGCTGTCGGCGACAGACAGGAGCCGGTCAGAGCTCACATCTCAGCAAATGATCACAGTTTACAACACGTTCAGAAGAAAATAATAACGAAGAAAATATTTAAGTGCTACAAACAATGCTGAGAGAGCTTATCATCAATCAATATATAGGGAAAATATTTCCTATTTATTCGGTGGTATGCTTAAAGAATGAGACGCCAGCTAGATAAAAAGAAAATATCATATGACGCAGTGTACCAAAATCATATTTTTGCTTGGGTGTCAGGGGGGAAAATTGCTGACCCAAAAAAAGGATGAGAGTGAAAAATTGTCGGTCAGGTAAGGCCCAAAAAGAGTGGGAAAATGATCAAAAACATTAATCTATCTACAATTGTGACAGATGTAAAACAACCATTCCCGCAATTGCTCCTTCTCGGTGGAATTGGAAGTGGAAAATTGGGCTTGAAAACTGGAGGTGAGAGTGGAAAATGATTTGCATTTGGATGTCGTTTCCCACCCACATCTACAAATTTTGGGACACTGATATGACGAGCTTCCACCTGCCGGTTGGTACTAAATAATAATTGCATGAGCCAAGTGTTTGTATAATGCATTACCAACCTGGCGTGGTGGTGATCGGCCCGCACCACGTGCATCATGTGTCCGGTGTCGTTGGACGGGTCCTGCGGCTCGCGGTGGATGGCGCACCGGCGTACCGGCGTCTGGATGTGGTGGGACTCGCGGTAGATGGGCAGCGCGCGGATGCGCAGCGCGCTCGGGTCGGCCACACCGCTGTAGGTGAAGCTGAACGGCACGGCCACCATCATGTCGGTGTACAGCTTCGCGCCGTCGGCGCTGTAGACGTAGGGCAGCTGACGGCCGGCCTGCTCGGGCCGCCGGCGCACCGTCACCTGGAACTGATGCACGCCCGGCCAGCCGTCCAGCACCGGCACAGAGTTGGCCACCGGCTGCACCGACACCTGCTTCTGCGCCGGCGGCGTGGGCTCCTCCTTCGCCTCGGCCGGCGCCGGCTGAAACGGCAGCGGGAGGTGGCCGATCAGGCGCGCTGCACAGAGCGGAGTGACAGTGAAAGCGCTTCAAACCGCCCCCTAATGGGCGCGGGCGGGGGGTTGAACACCTCTCTTGCGTTTTTTGCAAATATCTCAAAACAGCGGCGCTTCCTGCACATTCTGTGAAAATTTCAGACCAAGGTCACTCAGGGTCAGGTCACCAGGTCACGCCAAGTGACCTCACATCATTAAAAGTTTAAATGCCTGGTACAGCTACATCGAGAGACCGATCACTTTGAAACTTTCAGCAATTGCTAAGAGCAGCATTACGTACGAAATGTATAACTCGGAAGTTATCTGTATATCTCGGAAGTTTCATATCGGTGCCTAAGGTCAACTCAATTTTGTGACTTCTCAATTGTAAATTAATGGGAGAAAGTTGAAAGCAGCCTCTTTTGGACGAACATCATTCGAAACACTTTCAAACATTGAACTACAAGTAAGCATGACACACTGAACCGGAAATGGTAACCGTGACCCCTTGTTTTGTCCGAGATCATCTCATGTCAAATAATATCTAGCCGTTTTTCGCTAATAACTTTTGATAGAGGCTTGCTAGAGCGTTAAAAATGTCTTAAGTGTGTTCAGCTCGACGATACAGATCGACTGATATGCAACATGACCTTTCCCGGTCAGGTCATGACTTGGACCTGAGATCACCATCACGTTAATTAAGAAAAAAGATTATTTAAATTGACCTTGCAAAGTCAAATAATAACTTAAAGGGACTCCCCTACCTTCAAAAAGTTAATGAATTGGCATGAAAGTGATGTCGCTCGGTTTAGAAAGAGCGAAAACGAATATCTACCAAATTTCACCGAAAAATATTCACCGGTTTTCAAGAGATTAGACTCTCACTTTTGTTTACTTTTTGGGATCGCCGCTGTTCCTAGCGACTTTATTTGGAAGCAGTAGTTTGGCAGCTGAAAGTGCGGCACTTGTTGCGCGCAAAGCGGTGCCATACGTTTTAGTAAAATATTTAAAATCGTTAGATCTGCGCTGACGTCACACATTCAGAGGGGGCATTCAAATGCATTAGCCCCTTTTAATCCAAAGTGCTGCAACTTTGAAATTAGATATTTTCGATTTGAGGCATTTCACGATGTTGTGAGTGCTCAAACCGGTAAATGTAAGCCAGGGACCCCATTTTGGCTATCTAAACTCAAAACTAATGTTCAAGTGGGATGGTCACTTTAATCGACGCGTCTCGACAAGAGGAACACGATGCCAGTAAAAGTTAGCTCGTGCAAATTTTGACTTAAAAGTTATTGCAGGAAAACTTTCCGCAAAAAAAACAATTTGGCAGTTTTTGCCCTCTGCAGGCTCAACTGTTGACCTTAGTTCAAATCTGAGGGGAGCCTACAGAAAGAGTGTTCAAAGAGCTATCGAATGCGCTTTTCTGCAGCGCTACAGCTCTATTCGTTTCCGAGTTATGCGCCGGTTTGTTGAACACTGTCGAAATTGAATTGAAAATTGGCGGTTTTTGACCTTCGATGACCTCTTATGACTTAACCTTTGACCTGAACTAAAAAAAGACCGAAGTTATTTAGTCATTATTTTTGGTGCTCATAGAACACCACCTGCGGCGTGTCGCTACGTGACCCGGGAGCTAAGTTAGAAAAGGGGTGTTACTGTTCAATTCCCCTCCCCCCCAGGGCGTGAAATCCAAGAGCCCAAGCGGGGCGCGGGCTAAAGGCAGACGGGCCTAGCGCTCGGGTTTCGATAGGTAGGCGGTTGAACAGTGTCACAGCTCGACAACTAAAGGCTCGCTGTCCGGTCACGGTTCGGAAAGCCGGCGGCCGAAGACGCCCGTCCCGTCCTGTCTAGTCCGACAGTCACAACTGCGCACGTCGGAAAAGCGCTGAAAAAGTGAGGTGAAGGCCCTAGGCCTATATATTGTGAGGTCAGTTCGGAAGGTTTTCCACTGATGAGTATCTTGTGAGCTGCAGTCTAGGTATATAAATCACACTTTTGACACGGCACCATAAAACACAACTGATTTTGCGCACGAGAGATGTGATCAAATTTTTAAAGACCGGTCACTTAACGTGCGGCAAAATTCCCGACCTCCAGCATCCCAGTATCGTTCGCCGCTGATCCGTTCCCGACCCCGTAAGCCGTGATACAGTAAGATTCTTGGGACACCAAATAACTCTGAACTATTGAGAGCAGCAGAGCCTGCAGCCATTGGCTAGAATTTGGAATGCATGAATAGCAATCTCTACGCACGCAGTCACTAGAAAAGCTGAACATATCTGATTGAAGAGATTGGCATGAACACACCTATGGGAGTTGCATGTTTCTCACCTCCAATTCCGACAGCTGGTGCTCCTTCAGTGGGTGCTCTACAGGATCCATGTAGCTGTCCCAGTCTTGTGACAGATTCTGAAATCCGATGTCGACCTTGACCTGCTCCAGGACCTCATCGTCCGGAGAGAACAGCAGAAGACTGCTGTCCAATGATGAGGTCATCGCTGAAACACAAACAAATGCAGCATTATCCTATGGTACTACAAACATCACATACCTATTCCTAGTTGTTAGGATGAATGGAGCTAGCAATTAAGCCCAAAAAAACATAGTAAATTTTACAAAACACTTCTTTTGAAGTTGATGAATTGAATAGTTTTGGAGCCTCACGAAACAAGTTTCAAATATTACGCGTCACACAAACTGACGCATAAAGACTGTGTTCAAAAGTGTGAGCGGCAGCTCCGCAAGCACTTGTTGACGAATAAAAGCGTAGGTACTGCCCGGTCGCCGTAGCAACAAGTAAGCGTCACAATTTTCGAACACCCTTAGTGCGCCAAGTTCAACTACATCGAGGACGATGGGTGATGGGTGCCAGCTGATTAAATTAATGAAACGCGAATAAATTCTACTTTTGTTTGAGATTGCGAGTAAAAATGTGTTTGCTAATTTCAAAGATCATTGAATTCGTTTTTGTAAATAAATTAACTACAAAGCCTCTGTGCAAAGTGGTGTCGGACAGTACACAGCCTCCAAACTCCGCCCACTGCGTCCCTACGTCAGCCTTACGTCACCGCACACAGCGATCGCTGTGGCCGGTCCGGACAGGCCACAGCGGACCGTCCACCGCATGCAGCCGTGACGTCAGAACCGCCTACCCATCCCCTACCCCCACGCCTGCTACACACACCGCACACACCGCACTCAGCAGTTTGCGGTGGCCGTGAACACCCCTCTGAAATCCATCCCGGGGCACGATGCCCCGGTGCCCTCCCCATTCCCCCGCCTATGTGATACATAATCGGCATAGGCAAGGCTACCTGTGGCGCATGAAGCCATGCCGGGTGTAGCTCCTAGGGCTGTTCGGCTGTGTAGCCAAAATGAAATATGCTGCAGCACGCATGCACAGTAAGGGCTACGCAGCCCGTTAGTCCCGCCCACACCACGTCATCGCCTGTGTGACGTCACCTACTGAAGCACACTTCGTTTTCCTGCAGCCAGAAATTAGGTGCTACAGGAGACGAAAGTGGCGCGGATTAAAATTTACAGTCCAATTTTTCTTATTGTAAGCGGTTTGTATGCTGTTTTTTCAGGTGTCATCACCGTTTTCAGTGACACATTGCTATTAACCACATTTGAATGCAATTTAACAGTTATTTGGGCGACAATCACCAGTCCACCCATGCAACGGTTCACCACGAGTGAAATAGGCTGCAGTGACGCTCGACCTCTGTGTGCCGGCAGAGAGTGGGCAGAACGAGGCGCCCGACGTCACCCAAGTCTGACGCACGCAGCACAGATCTCTGCTGCTGGGACCTGAACGGAACAGCCCTCAGGTATGACTAATAGTTTATACTGTAACTGATACAGGAGAACATGAAAATTTATTTTGGAGGCTAGTACATCAAATTTCAGCATTTTGTAGTCCCTTTCTAAGAAATCTGACAAGGAGAATACGACTCCAGGCATCAGTCATTTGCAGGCGGTTCGTAGGTAAGGTAGCCATCTAAAAGGTCGCCGTCAAAGCCCAAAAGGTCTTTCTTTCTTGCCTGATATGACCCATTGCACGTTCCGAGGCATTGCAAATATACTTATCAGATAACATGCAGAACTAGAAACAGGCTCGAGTCTGAGTCGGCATGGAAGCTGTGGCGCACCTCAAGCTTGGCGATCTTTATACGACCATCATGAAACTGAAAGTGCTTCTTCATGAATCAATTTGAATTGTTGTTATGTAATGAATGATAAATTAATGATGAATCAGTAAACTATCGAAACCTACAACTTACCATTGGATTTCTGGATGCAAAACAAGTTGAATCACGGGGCCTTGGTAACAACTGGATTTCCATTACGTCATGGGTGATGATGTCACACCACGGGTGACGTTTCACTGCTGCTGCTGCTGTCCACGGAGGGCAGCGTTTGTGAGTGGAAAACAGTAGCAACATTGTAAATGAAGGCAGTATTGGCGCTTATGCTACATATGAAATTTATAACAACATATTGATATTGGTGAATGTTTATTTTTGTTACTTTTCATAAACCCTCCATTTCAGAGGGTCTGCATGCAAAATTTCTGTTATTTTTTAGAGTCAAGCTATTGTACTAAGGGATTTATTTTGGCAATTTAGTCATTTGTTAGGTTATAAGGCTGCAGAAACTTTTAGTTGAGGTTGGTATCCATTATCCAGTTGCAGCTATAATCGTGTCATATTTTGTATCATTTTCTGAACATGTAAACACCTACCTATATGAATTCAAATTTTGTGATTGTAGAAAAGCAGTTACCCTCACATTGCAGCGGGGATTAGAACAATTAACCACACTTGTTATACAAAAAGCCTGTTTGCCATCAATTTTGGGAATCCAAATTGGGTATTGGTAAGGTAGATGTAGCACAAGCTGCCCGATGCACGAGAATGGGTCTTTCTAACCAAACCTTACCTAACCTGACCTACAACCTACAGCCTTAAACCTAAAATTTACAACCTACGACCTAGTCCTACGGTATGGCATATCACAACAGCTTGTGCTACGTCTGCTAGTGCTACCATGACCCAACTTTGTGCCAATTCATACCAACTTGGGATGACAGTCACTGCAGATGACAGATGTGTGCTGACCATGCAGGTCTTTGTTACAATTGCAATTCTATTGTGTTACAGGTTCGGCGTTCTACAGCTGCGACCCGCCATGGCTGGGCCACCGCAGCGGCATCACCTTCAGGGTGGACCTGCCCGTGGCCACCCGCCGGTCGGACCCGCCTGCAGTCCGCAGGGAAGCTGCCCTGCGAGCCATTGCAGAGCTCCCGCACCCGGACGTCACTATCTGGTCGGACGGCTCGGCTCGCGGCGGACGGAACAGGGCGGCGCAGGCGCTGATCCAGTTCCACCACCTCAACAGAGAAGAGACCGTGCGCGCTCCTGCAGGGGCGGTCTGCTCCAGCCTAAGAGCAGAACTGACCGCCATGCGCGAGGCGTTCGCGGCTGTGGCCGGCCTGGAGGACGGGGAGTTGGCATCGACCAAGTCGGTCCGCCTCCTCACCGACTCAAGGTCTGGGCTCCAACTACTTGGCCGCGGCCCAGCTAACCAGACCATGGCCCTGGCCGCCGAGGTGTGGAGGCTGCTGAGTGCTGAGCACCCTCACCGAGAACGGCACCGAGACGGTGCTCCAGTGGGTGCCAGGCCATGCCGGGCTGGACGGCAACGAAACCGCCGACCTCCTGGCTGGCGAGGCCACGGCGGGCGACCAAGACAGCGCACCGATCGACCTGTCGAGTGCGCGGGCCGCCGTCACGCGCCATGTCCGGGAGCTGTCGCGACAGAGGGCAACCGCTGCCCACCCGCACCCGGACCCCACGCCTGGCCACGACTCCCTGGCGCGCTGGGGTCGGTGACGCTGTCCCAGCTGAGGACCGGCACATCACCGCTGACCCGTGACACGCTCCACAAGATTGGCCCGGAAGCCGACGACGAATGCCCCGCGTGCGGGGAGCCCGACCGCGCGGCGCACCTACTGACCGATTGTCCGGCCTATGAGGCGGCCCGCCGCCGCCGCTGGGGTGTCGACCCTCGCCTGGTCGACGTCCTCGGCGGCCCGGCGACGAAGGTCGTCACCTTCATCGAGGATGTTGGGCGGACCGAGCCGCCGCTCGACCCGCCTGCGCCGCCGCCCCCCTGAGCGGGTTGGCAATGGGATGCAGAAGAAGAAGAAGAAGCAACTGCCAGCGCGCCACGGCGGCGAAGCCGAGTTCCGCCGCTGGACCGCCCGCGCAATGGCCAGCACAGACAAGAGACAACCGAATCACAACACCTACAATTACGTTATTATGGTATTGACATTGTTACAATTAACCCTGCTCTTTCGAGCGTGGATGCACGCTGAAATTGTCGCATAATTCCATGCAGCTTCCACCCTTCTGCAATACAAAGTTTGAATACAAAGTAGTCTTACAATAGGTTTAGAACTTATGTGCAGATTGTCGATGCTGGTTGACTTGATGATTGGAATTGTGTTTATCTGTTTATCTGTTTTGACTTAAATATATGGCCATGTACTATGGCCTACCTTGGGAAGTGTCTCTGATTTCAACAAAACATTTTTCATCAGGATACGCTGCAGGGTACATAGTACATACGTAGTGAAAATTTTGAGCATGTATGGGTGCGCATGTGGAGATGTAGACTGCGAATGAGACGGACTACGACGGTTTTTGAACCAATTAAATCTGATTGACAACATAATGTAGGATTAAAAACTGACTGTCAGAAGAATATTCACAGAATATTCACTTCACCCAGTACAACGAAAAGGGAAAGTCAGGAAACAGGCAGGGTACATCTCGAAGATCAATCAAATTGCAGGTGCCGATTGGTTATGGATCATTGTAGCTCAATGTACTGCCTTGTGCTGCTTTATTGATTGAAATTGCTTCCAGCTTGTATTGAAAGAAGTCATTATGGAAGAATTAAAAAGGTTCTTGAAAAATTTAAATACTTTGAATTGATATTTATGCAGAATTATACACCCGTATCATTCTTTACATGTCAATATTTGTATATTATCTAGCATATAAGAAAATAGTGGCCTCAAGTTTCTAGAAAATATCTGATTTTACTCTCAGAGCCACTGCAGATCCCTAAAAAGTTAGGAGCCGTCTTCATTATTGAATGTATAAACCCAAATAAATTATCACTGCTCAAAAGTGGAAGAAATGACAAATGAAATAAAGTTTTCCTACAGCGTTGCAATCCAGATTTCAAGATAGTGATGGGCGCACTAGAAAGCAAGTAAAAGTACTCCACAAGGCAAAAGTAAGGAACAAGAATATCCTTATACTGTTTCAGAATTCGGTAACAAACATTTTTTGTGTGTTTTAAATACCCGAACAAATCGATTCCAGAATCAGTCTTGATAATATTATATGGTTTTTGTATGGTGTTGGTCAGGCCCATGTCACTCCACTTTTGATGACATCATAAGGGGGTCTCAGGACAATTAATGGCGCGGTGCGCCACAATCGCTCCCAAGCTACTGGCCAACAACTGCCATTTTTGAAAATATTATTTTGAAATAAAGTTCCAAGTAATGAAAATATTGTAATAAAGTTGTAACTTAAATCTATAGCATAACTAAAAACTTACTTAAAAATGAATTATCCATAGTAAAAATATAAGCTCGATGCGTTTTTACGTTGCTTTCCTGCTGCTGCAGAGGGTTTTTAAATCGTCTATATCTTCAAAACCGGCCATTTCTTAGCATATTGCTGCTCTTTTTTGTCGCTGGAAAATTAGTTGAGCTTTCCATTGACATCAACGGCTGAGCGGTATGTGTAGAGTGCCATCAATAATCTTCAAATGAAGTTAGTCATTTTTACGTTGCAAAGGAATGGAGTACCCCTTGCGAGCATCAGGGGTGACGTCACTCAGGATCTGTCTCTGATTGGTCGGCGGGGGAGTGACTGTACCTTCTATAGATGGCCTTGGGTGTTGGTGGTACTTGAATGACCAAAGTCAGTACATGTCCATCACCTTTCGATATTTCCGTGGTGCTCGTTCCCATTTCATAGCTGCTCACGGTGTTTTCTGCTGACGTCATATGGTGCTGCTCCACTAGCGCCACCATACGGCGTCAGCTGGCGAATTATCCAGTTAATACCAGAGCCCGAATCACGTTGCTTGTAAACGTTCCGATGCCAAAAGGAATGCACTCAAAGATGCCTGAATGGCTACGAGAAATCGCTGGAAGTCTCTGTCTTTGGTCTGATGACATCATCAAATACCTGCAAAAGACTTTTCGCTTAGCAAAATAAGACAACATTTCCAAAATTAGTTTTGTGGTTTTGTGTTAATAGCAACGTTGTTACCATTCAAATATTATTATTTTTAGATGTAAAAAATATAAAAAATAACTCTTTGCCGAGCTTGAAAGCGTAAAACAAATAGAAAGCCTGGTAAGTCTTATGACATCATTAGAATCTGTTTTAAGTTTGTTCAAAGTTTCCTCCTTATCATGTTACGTCATCCCTGTGACGTCATACTTACGGGGCGAGTGGGGAATTCCCCCGGGGCCCTATTTCACACTATATCCAAGGCCACTATATCATAGTGTGATATATGGCCTTGGTTTCACCGATAGCAGTACGCTGCTATTTCATTTCGCGAGGTGTTTTTGGAATAGGCTTGTTGACGTCTCCATGGAAACCCAATTTGACACGTCTGTAATAGCAGCGTGCTGCTATCATCGGTGAAGCAGGCAGTGGCGGCGGAAGCAGGGGGGCAAGGGGGGCAGCTGCACCCTAAAGTTATGGAAAGGGGCGCCTCGAAAATCTGTAGAGGAGGCAGGAAGTTAAGAGGTGCGGCAGCCATAAAGCTGAGCAGTGCGACACCGCAACTGATAAAGGCACTTGTGACACGAAGAGGGTGGCAATGACGTGGGAAAAGTATCTTTTGATATGCTGAAGAGTGGAGGGCATCCTTATCTGAAACAAAGGCAGATGCTGCCGACCCCGTCGAATATAATCTTGCCAGGCGATAAAGGCCAGGAGGGCGCAGCCACTCGAGAAGCGCGCCATGCGGAAGAGGGGCGCCTGCATGCGAAAGAGGGGCGCCTGTGTGTGGGACGAAAAAGAAACATTTATGGAGACGTCTTTGAAGGCGATAGCCTCCGAACGCCAACACGAACATATGAGGGCTTATAGCGTTGCAGGCTCCATGCGACAAAAAGGGGCGCCTGATGGCCGATATGCGAGAGGAAATTAGTTTGTGTAACATTTATCGGGGGCGGTAACTGCAATAGTGCAGTGCAGCCCAGGCGGCATGCTGCTTACCGGCCTGCAATTCTCTGTCACCGAGTATGGATTCGGCGCCTTATTCACTAGTCCACACGAAGGTATTGGAACCGTGGAACTCTTTTCGATATGCCTTATTCGGAGAATCTTATGGTATGGTGATGAGGTTGTTTCTAAACGAACATTATGAAGGTTACATTTACGCTATGGAATGTACCTAACTATTTCTCGTTACATAAAAACTGTAGTTCAGAACGTGTTAACAGGTACAACACATTGTCAAACGTCTCTTCACTGTTTGTGTTACTACAACCGTGTATATGGTAAGGGGCGCCCAGCGGGAAGGGGCGCTTCAATATCGTTTGCACCCCTATCCTAGAATACCTTCCGCCGCCACTGGAAGCAGGGCCGGGGCCAAAGCCGGAATCATAGGCGCGGGAGCCGGGGGGGGGGGGGCAGTGGGGGCAGCTTGCCCCCCCCCCCCCCCAACTCTGGGGCCGTGGGGGCGATGGCCCCACAGCTTTGAGACGGAATACCACACTTTTTTTTACAAATGTTTTCTTTTTTGTTGAAAAAGCCATGGGATGAAAAATAAGTGGCCTAAAACCGGTGAGAAAACTAAATTTGGGGGTACCCTAGGTTGATCTCTATTATGTGTCCCCCCCCCCCCCCAGTCTGAACGTAGTTCCCGCGCCCCTGGCCGGAATCCTTGCCGGAATCGGCGTGGTGCGTTTTGATGGGACGGGTGGAGTACGAGGTAATTTTTGGCCGAGGGCTGCCGACCGAAGATCATTTGGGGGACATGACATGACCTCAGATGCCCTTTATTCGCCAATATTGTATCACCCTTGGTGTATGTCTACGCCAACCTTACTATGATGATCGGCATAGACCGCAGCGGAGAAGTCTCTAGCTCGATGCGCATCAGAGCAGGGTATCATCAGAGAGCTCCGCCGTCATGGCTTTCGACACTTGATCGACATTCGACGGCGCTTGCCGCCAGTAGCGGCGGAACACCTTAGGGGGGGGGGGGGGGGGGGAAGGGAGGCAATGCCGACTTTTGGTCCCATTCTTTCCATGCAACGCCCATAGGGCTAATGTTAAAATGCCAAAATCAAAGGGGGCACGGGGCCCCGGTGCCCTCCCCGTTCCGCCGCCTATGCTTGCCGCTTGTGCTATACTAGCAACATGCAGTTGGAATTCGCCAACATTATGGTTCTCTTCACTCAAAGCAGCACAAGCCGGAGTTCTTTAGTGTATTGTTCATAATCCAGGAACGTTATACACTTCGGATGTCACGTAAACCTTATCACATTTGTACAAAAATTCGCCTGCGCACATGCGCTTGGTCGGCCACACATTGAAGAGGTGAACACTCCCAGGTACTTGAACGGCTCGTCTGGCACTTTGATATCGGACTGCGGACACTGCGCAATAATGGACAAATGGCACCCGTTCAGATAAGACGGCACGCTGTGCCAACTGTGGCGCCGTTTGATTTTCGATATTTCACGATGAGGATGGCTGTCGGATTCGGAGGCGGTCGGGGGAGCGCGGCACTGGTACACGCTGGGAGCGCGGCAGACAGTACAAACAACACGAGGACGAGCCACAGCCCTGTCAGATCATCCAGTGGTCCGGCCAACCCGCCGGAACATCGGCGGCCACACGGCGCGCCGGGCTGGGCCTGCGCGCCACGGCCTGACCGCTCGGACGGCACAGCTCACTGTAAACTCGGTCAACACTCCGAATGCCCGCCGCACGCAATAGGAACTAGCCCATGCGACGCGTCCTTAAGAGTAAATTCGCATTTAACACATCTATAAACCAATTACGACGGTAGCAAAACCAATACATCTCTACAACTTAAATATTAATCACAAGCGTCAGTGATTAAAACATCCGTGTAAAAGGCATACTACTTACCAAACCACATGATTTCCTATATGTATGTAAATATCAGTAAAAACTAACAAAGCATGATAGGGATAAAACAATCAAATGTGGGACACGTATGGTGCTAAATAGTAACTACTAATCCGAATTCCGGTCATATAAACCATCACACTGATTGAAGATCCATCAAAACACGCTCTGTGTAGAGGCAGCGGCGGCGCCATTCCGAAGATGCTACCCCACTGAGCCTCGGCGGCCCAAACGGCGGTTAAAAGCGGCCCTCCCACGCATCGTCCCGCTGCTTGTTGGCCAGACGCTTCTTATCTGCGGACATACAGGAGACTGGTCAGACCGTGGGGGATTCAATTGGCACGAAAAACACCCCACCAAATCGACACAGGATGGGCACAATGCAAAACCTGGCACGCGTGCTGACCGCGAGACTAGTGATACCAGCCGCAGTCTCACCCATCCCGTCCCGGTCTCTCCCAGTTCGTCACAGCTCCCTCCCTGCTCGTGACAGTCCCTCCCGACTTCCTCCCTGCTCGTCAAAGTCCCTCTCGGCTAACTCTCTGATCGTCACAGTTCCCTGTGCGGCACTGCCGTCCCGCGGCGCACCTTTAGCGTCACGCAGTTTGCGCCGCTCCTGGTCGCGGCGCTGTCGAGCGCGGCCGTCACTGGGCGCGTGCACGCCCAGGGCGGTGGCCACCATTCGGCCGGCGTGCAGCGCCGAGGTCTCGGGCCGCGCCCGGTGCGGCAGTTGCGCGTTGGCCGGCACCGCCGCCTTCTGCCGAGAGCGGGCCGTCGCCTTCGAAAGCGGCCGGCTCAGCAGCATCGGGTGGCACAGGCGCAGCGCCTCGGCCGCTGTCCAGCGGAAAGATAGCGGGGGAGGGGACGGGCGGTTAGCAGCACTCTGGAACCGTTCAATAGTAGAACGGAGCTGACGGAACCGCACCCGTGCGACGGGGCTGATATAATGACAGGGAGACATGCCCAGCGGCACGAGCCAGCTGGTCCAACTGGACTACGATGCACACTAGGCATGGCTATGTTCCAGTGGCAAAAAAAAATATCAGCGGAGGTTGGATGAGCTTCGTGGAAAGCCGAACTACAGGAGTCACGGGAAAGTTTCTGCGAGGAAATCAGCTGTTTGCGGGCTCTTGGTTGGCGATTTATGGCGCGCCATAATTCATTTTGAGATCAGCATTGCTTTCAAATAAAAAATATGACTAAATATTGACAATTACTATCCAAAAATTTCTTATCTTCCTCAGTCCCTACAATCATATCCTTGTCGCTCAAATCTAACGTACAATTAGTTCGAATAACGTGCGCCAATATGTCTACGCAGAGCCTCATCCAGAAATCCAACTTTCGTTTGGGATGAGGGTGGAGGCAAGTAGTGGTGGTGAGATGTGGAATCGGGATGAGCTTAGAGGAGCTTGGAGGAGGGACGGGAACAATTTTTTGGAACCAGAGGAGGTTGGAGGAGCTTAGAGGAGGTTGGAGGAGCCACTGGAACATACCCAATGTCTATCGTTAGTCAGATGCACAGCAAATAGACGAACAATCGGCCTTAAAAAGCGAATGGAGTGAAAGTCGCGCTATTCGTATCTAATTTAACAGTGACAATTTTATGAGCGACGATTTAACGTAGCTCTTCACTACAATCCAGCCACCGAACCTGTCACATTTTGCAAGACTACACCATGCCAAGTCAATGCCGTCAAAGGTATCCTATATAACCGTTTCCTAACGCGCAAAAAGCATAGCATACGGCCGGCACGACAGCTACCTCGCAGTAATTGGTCTGAGCGCCGGGCCCGGTAGGCGGATGGCCGCGCCGCGGGCGGACTCACCACAGGCGGCGCTGGAGAACACGCCCAGCGCGTGCCGGTCGTCCACTGGCCGCACATCGAACCCACTTCTCACAAAGTCGGCGAACACCACGTTGAAGTCCTGCTTGCTGAAGCCAGACGGGAAGTTGTAGAGCTCGATAACGTGAGCGGGCAGGGACGGGTCTGACGGCGGCTCGTCGCCGACCTCGGGCCTGTCGGGACGGCGGGACCGGCCGCCGCCACCGCCGGCAGACGGTCGCCGCTTCACCGGACTGGCCGGCGCCTGGTGACAGGTCGGATACGGGTCAGACACGGGTCACATCGTCATTGGAGTAAGTGGTGAAAGAAAGAGGCAGACAATACAAACAAACTTGACGTTAGTGCAGTGCAGACTAGTAGTGGTACACCTTTTCTTTAGAGCCATAATTTGCACTTTCCCTACGTGATCAAGGTCAACAAGCAGACTAAATGTGTTCGCTGAATAGGAAGTAGCTAACTGAATAACACGGAAAATAGTATGTAACCCATTATTTTTCGGAAATGACTCGCTCACGATGTCACAGGAAAATTGCTCCTTCGCACGATACAAACCCGTTACATGACAAATCCGTACAGGCCGGACAATACATCTCTGTCCCGAATCGCTAATCCTAAGCCCCTAACAAAGCCCGGCCTCCGTCCACCGCCGACAGCGGACATACCCACCTTGTGCTCCGAGTCCGCGGCCTCTCCGTCGTCGTTGAAGCGCCGCTCCCACTCGTCGACCTCGTCGGCCCAGTCGAACGGCTCGTCCAGACTCAGATTGAAGAGGCCGCTGAACGAGGCGGACGAGCGGCGCCGCGTCCGCTCCGGCGCCGGCGGCTCCGCAGAGGCCGGCCGCTCGGCCGCGCGACAGCCGGCCGGTTCCGGACCCTCGGCGTCCACAGCAGCGGGTGCGGAGTCCGGGGCGGGCGCTACGGGCGCTGGGTCGGCGGGAGCAGCGGACGGGGGCTCCGGCGGTGAATTCATCACTTGAGAGGAATCTGGGTGGCTAGGCGGCGTCCGTTCTTCTGCGCTGGTGGCAAGAGGTGGCGCACGTGACACTGCCGACTGTTGTGTCACTGTTGCCGCTGAAGCGACGCCTTCTAGTGGTGACGATGTGGCCGGCGGGGATTGAGAGACGGCGGGCTGGGAGCCGGCCGACCCGGCACTGATGTGACCCGGTCCTCCCCCACTCCGCTCCGGAGATTGTCGAACAATGGCGCCCTGGACGTGGTGCGGCGACACATCACACCCAGACTTATTGGACATACCAGCGGGAGAGGGTCCCACGATAACCTTAGAAGGCGTCGGCGTCGGGCCACGCTCGGTATCCGCAGAGTCCGCCCAGCGCTCTTTGGACCGGGCGCTGTGAGGGCGCCGCAGCGCCGCCTTGACCTCGTCCGACTGGGGCAGGGCAGCGGCGGCCGGGCCGGGCGAGGTGGGCTGGCGTTCCCGCGGCCGGCCCCTGCCCCGTCCGCGGCCGCCGCCCAGCGTCACCTTCTCGTCGTCGGTGGTGTTGACCAGCTGTCCGAGGCTGTCGGTGCGCGCCAGCAGCGGGCTCGGCCGCACGCCCAGGTGGGCCATCACGTCTGTGGGCGACTGGGGCTCGCTGAGGGCGGGCGCGCGGCCGGCCGGTGACCCCGGCGCCAGCGGTGCGGACCCGGCACCCTCCAGCTGCAAACTGGCGATCAGATCGGTGGGCGACATGGAGCGGCGGTCGGGCGCCGGTGACGGAGCCGCGGCGCCGCTGTCGCGGCCGCGCCGCCGGCGCCGCGAGCTGCCACGCCTTCCCAGTGAGGCTGTGCTGCCTGGCTCGTCCCCGGCGGGCGGTCGCCGCGGCGGGCCGCCCGGCGGCGGCGGCGCGGGACTCGGCCGGGAGTACGCCGCAGTCGGTGCCGGCGAGGCGACTCTCTGAGGCGTGTGGACGCCCCGGCCGCGGCCGCCGCCCGGCGGCTGGTGCGCCGGACTGGGCCGGTCCAGCTCGGGGCGCGGCGCCGCCGCCAGAGGAGCTGGACTCTCGCCGTCCCGCCGCGCCGGCGGCACATACACCTGCTGGAACCGGGGCCGGGCCGGGCCGCGCGGTGACGACGGGCGCGGCGGCTGGCCGCCGTCCCACGAGTCGCGGTGGTCGCGCCGCCAGGGCGCGTGTGACGGCGACATCGGCTCGGCGGCGCTGGCCGGCCGGTCCCCGGACTTGGAGCGCGAGCGGCGCCCGCTGCGCCGCCGCCGTCGGCCGGAGCGTTTGCGGGGCGACCCGGCGGGCTCCACACTGCCCTGTCGACTGGACGGCCGCGACTGACTCAGACTGTCGCCGCTCTGTCGCCACGCCCCGCCGCCGCCGCCGCCGCCGTCACTGGCCTGCTGCGAGAGTCGCCGCCGCGGGCCGGTCGGCGGACGGGCCGCGCTCGGGCTCAGCGGGCCCGGCGAGGAGGCGCGCGGCGGCGTGGCGCGCGCCCGCCACGAGGTGACTATCTCCGAGCAGGTGGACAGGCCGGGTGACGAGGCGCGGTTGAAGCCGCTGCTGGCGCCGCCCTGCCGGTGTCGCGGCGGCACGTACAGCTGCTGCGGCGGACGGCGCTCGCGCCCTGGGCCCGGCTCGGCCGAGCGGCGCGCTCCGCCACCGAACGGCGACTGCCGAGGCCGGCCGACCGTCTCCGCGCCCGGGCCGGCACCGCTGGCGTAAAACACGCGCGACGTTGACATCCTTTGTCAGCTCTTCAATTCCTTCGAAAAGATACACAACTGTGAGACTTGTCAATGCTTCTCAAATCTCATGTGTGATATGTCTTGATTTTTTATCATTAGATCTTCGATAAACCACAATCTCCATGCACTTGTTAGGCTTCAGCCAGCCAATGGTGATATCTGAAGAGAAAATTTTACAGTAATTAGGTACTAATTACTGCTGATGGGAGCAACACGTCATCTGCTGTGGTTACTTACAGCTTCACTATCATTCATGGTAAGAATCTGCAAAGGAATCATCACCCATCTACCTTTTTTGGTGATTGAGACACCTTCAAATTTCAATGCATTCTCAGCTCCTGTTTTTGCTTAGTTTTCCATAACTCAACTGTAGGTATTCATAATCATAATAAATCATCCTTCCAAGGGATGAATTTTGAGTTCCTGATCCTGGTGAGAAAGAAATTGAAATGAAAAGGATACAAATAACGAAAATATTGTGAAAGTATATGCAAATCGCAAAATTCACATTACACATAGCCAAATTGCAAAACATGGCAGCACAGTTGACATCAAACAAGGCCTGAAACTTGAAGGTACAGCCCTCTGCAAAGTGCAAACTGCGTGGTAGGTATTCTTTTTTCGACAAAACCGAGAATAACGCGGATACTATGCTATCGGTCACTCGGAAATCGTAACAGCAGGACGTGCGAGACTCTGCACCTTAGATTGGCATTACCATCGTATATATTTTCCATCCAGTTTGGCAACAAAACCCAAAAGTTTATATTTGCCCCAAAAGCAAACTTTTGCATTTTGTTGCCACGAAAGGTATATACTTCGTTTAGTGATAGACCCAATCGAAAGAGTGGAGCATGGCGCATCTATGTGCAATGAGTTTACGGCTTTTCCACGATCAGGCAACATCCTCGACCTCATACTCACATCTGAGGACGACAGAATAGGGAACGTTATGGTCAATGCCCCTCCTCCGGGATGCGATCATTGCAGCATCCACTGCAGCTATGTTTTTTCAAAGACTTAGAGGTGTCTCCAGAGAACTCGCACTGTCTATTGTGGCACCACGGGAAATATGACATGATCAACCGCCATATGGCAACAATTGACTGGGACCTTGAGCTTCAGCCTATTTATCTGTGAATGGCGCCTTCGAACCAACGTCTCCAGGACATATTGGAAGTGCTGATATCCAATTCATCCCGGGATCTACACAAAAAAAGCTTAAGAACAAGGTTCCATGGAAGAGAAACCCACCACCTTCTCTGAAATACCTATTACCTAAGGTCCTCAACATGAGCTCTGTTCGGGCACTGTTTTTATATCTCAGCATGCTGTCGGTTTTCCCCAAATAAGGAAGTTATTGCTGGCGCTTCTTGGCCTCTCATTGGTCTAACGAATAGACCACTTGAATTCGACCAATGAGGAGCCAAGAAGTAGCAGCATGCTCGCAACCTGCTGATGAATAAACGGGGGGCGAACAGAGCTTTGGTCATGTCAACCTATAAGCAGGCGAGAACGTCCTTGGGCAGGAACTCCCGAGTCCCGAGGCCAAGACACTGCTAGCATCGTTGCTCCACTATAACAAACGATTACGAAGCTTCGCAACAAACTCGCAAATCGACTACGAGCGATCACTCTTGGAGAAGATGAGGGACAACCCAAAGCTTCTTCACTAGTATCTACATAAGACGAAACAGTTCCGCTCTTCTGCGGGACCTTTAACTCTTATCATCGGGCTCCGTCACTGACCACCCCAAAGCCATGGCCGATGCCTTCGTGGAGGCTTTTGCCAGCATCTATGGCAAAGCCCCTCAGCTCTTTCCCTTTCCTCCTTGGCTTTACGAAACGAGGCCCAGGACGTAATCACCATAAAGCGTTAGCTCATTGTGCATTTTCATATTCAGATTGAGCTACCTACCTAGTTACGAGCGAGCGAGTTCATACTGAATTAACCCTCGCCCGCACATGCCATTTTCCCATCCTAGAACGCACATGGGGGGGGGTTGCCACCCCCCCCCCCCCGCGCCATTTCGTTCCTGTTGGAGATAGAGCTTAGCAGTAAAAACCAAAAAGATTCTTTGGGAAGAGACGAATCCAATGATACCCAGTTTTACCTTCTCAGGTCAGTCATTGACCTTCCAGGTCAGGTCAAACTAAAAAATGTTGCTGTTTTGGGTCACCGTTGGATATCAAGTGCGCTGCTTATCAAATACCGATGACGATGCTGTTTTCTGGTGCCAAGCCAGCTAGAACCTCTTTGTCACACTATCCGACCAGAATTTTGCTGCTGAGGTCATTTCAGGTCAAGTTAGGTAAAGTCAATTATATGTGTTTGTATGTCTGTGTGTGTCTGTGTGTATACTGATGTGTGCACCGATTGTTTTTGGGTCCATATCACATGAAATCATGATCTGAGAAGCTTTTACCAAAAATGCAGTCAAAAAACTTCACAAAAAGTAAATTCAGCTTGCCTAAAACGCAATTATCTTAGATGACCTAGGTTGACCTTGACCCTGACCTTGACCCCTGTACATCGTTGAACAACATGTTCCATGATAGGTGGGAGGTAAGACTGGCAAAAAAGGCCGAAATCAGGGTGTCAAAAGCTCACAAGGCCCATGGCAAACGCAAGATGTTGAGAATTGGCCATTTGGGTCATGACATGACCTGAAAAAGAAGGTCATATCTCCGAAACCAAAAATCACAGGAACTTGAAATTTTCAGTGGACATCAAGAAAGGATAGACGAGCAGCTATACGAAAAATCAGCCTTCTAGCTCTAAAAATGTTGAGTGCAGAGCAGAAAGACTGCCTGGGGGGGGGGGTGGCAACCACCCCCCCCCCCCATGTGCGGGCGAGGGTTAAGGGAAAATCCTGAGTATGAGCAGTCGGTCGGCCAGCCGTGGGGACGCTCTTCAAAAGCTAATATCTTAGTAACGGGACATCCGATTGACAAGCGGTCTTCTTTACTGAATGTCACTTGGACGTAAAAGTTCTGTGGTATGATGGCCACAATGAGTTCTTGCCAACCACCGCACGTGGCGCGTGGTAAAGTTGGACATTTTTTAAGAACCCCCAAATTTGCAACCTCAATAACGGCACAACGGTTGGGCTGATTGAATTGAAACTCGGTACACAGTTAGGTCTCCATCAGATAATTCATCTGCATGTGTTAAGGTTGGGGTGCTACAGCACGTGTGCACGTGCAGGGGGCGCTCCCAGATCTTGAGAGCGGCTGGGGCGATTGCGCTCAAATTTGGTACACGGTTGGGGACAAGTTAGTAGGGTCAAGGGTGCCGTGCAAAAGTCAGTTTGGACCCCGCTTACACGTGCGCACGTGCAGAATGCTGCTTCCAGATCTCAGGAATGGCTGGGCCAATTGCGTTCAAATTTGGCACACCGCTAGCGACTGGTTAACTTAGAAGGGTGCTTTGCACAAGCCCCCTCGCCCTTGCGCACGTGCAGGGCTCACTATCTCGCTCACTCGTTCTTCGCCCAAAAGGCGTTTTACTGGTACCTACCTACTTAAATTGTCAACCGATTTAGATTCAACTCAAAAATTCATCCAGCAAAACTCACGAAGCATGCCTTCATACTCCTTCACAGCCCTACGGCCTTGCCAGGCCCATGTCGTCCCCTATCTCCCTGTGTGTCCAAGTGCACAGATGACGTCACACGAAGGGGCGGAGTCGGGGGCGGAGCCTGGCGCAACGGCCGCCATATTTGAATTTGTTTTATTAGAATGTATTCTATATTAAGGGTTTCAGTCAATTGTTATCGATAGTTTTATGAACGGTTAGCTGTAATATAAGTGATTTATCAAGAAAAAAACACATATTCTGCGTGCAATTTCGATTTAAGTACGACCCGCGCCTAGATTCGAACGCACGATCTTTGGATTACGGCGCAAGCATCCTAACCACTACACTACCGCGACGGCGTGCCGGCCGGCGGAAGGGAGGCTGCGGAGGCATGGGAGCTTTTTTACGCATTTTTTGAAAAACTAATGGGTTTAGTGGAAAACACTTCGTAGAAAATTCAAAGAAAAATGTCTCGGCTTTCCGATGATGCACTTAGTTTTGTGCTAGCTTTAGCAGAGTTTGTTCTACAGCGCTTCAAAAATCGCCCATTTGCATAGGACTTAAACGGGACTTCAAGACGTGCCCCCAGATGACGTCACGAGCTGACGTCACGATCAGGTAGAATCGCCGGACGACCCTACCTGGTATATAGGTATATAGGGCCTTGGGCCTTGCCGGCCTTGCTCTGACAAGTTGACACTGCGTCACTTTTGACTTTGTCCTTTTTTCAATTGCAAATCCGGAAAAGCAACGCAGTAATTGATATGACGTCATAAGTTTTAATTACATTTGTTATCGAGAGTTTGCTTTTTTACTTACAGTAAACCTGTTTTTTTATTTTTTGTTTAATCGCTTTAACAAATACAAAATATAATATTTGTATATCTGCGGAAACATTTCTATGACGGAAACGGTTGATAAAGTTGATATCCATTATATGTTGTTGTTCCCCCTGGGACCTCCTTACGGAGGACCATAGCCGAGAGGCTCCCTATGGCGAAGGTAGCCGGCCTCCAAGGCAGCCACCAGGTCGGCGTCCCGCAGCCGCGACGGGTCGACGTAGATGCTGCCAGTTAGCCGCAGGCGGGCGCCAGCGAGGGCCGGGCAGCGGAGCAAGACGTGCTCCGGCACGTCCGCCTCCTCTCGGCACACGGCGCAGAGCGCCGCGGGGCACCGCTTATCGGGGCACTGCAGGCATGCCACGGAGGGGTGGCGGCCGATCCGGTGCAGGTATTGGAGCGAGCGGCCCCAGTGGCCCGCCCTCAACTGGTGCACCGAGATGGCGGCCTCTCGGTCCTCTCCGGGGATGGGGAGCGGCAGGGTGCTCCCGAAGATAGTCTTGAAGAAGGAGTCGGGCCAGTTTTCGCGCCACTGACGTGTGGCCGTCCGATGAACTGCCCGTGTCAGGGACCGAGCGTCCGAGGGCACGGCGCCCTGGGGCAGGGTGGCCGCTTGTTTGGCCAGGGCGTCAGCGCGCTCGTTCTCCGCCAGCCCGCAGTGGGCAGGGACCCACTGCAGGGTCACCTGCCGGCGCTCGGCAATGTCCAGCAGCGTCCTCCAGATCGCCGCGCCGATAGTGGTGTCGTACTGGCGCTGTGGGTAGCGCGTGGCTGGACGGACGGTCTGTGACAATCTATTGATCTGTGGCTGATCTATTAGAGTGTCCGTCCGAGAGCCGTACGACGGCTGACAGAGCCTGGGGTCGCGAACTGGTGTGGTAACCGTTACGCCCACCTGGGACGCCCGAGTCGGTACGGTACTTGCGGTGTCGTAACCGGATCGGCGGGAACCAGCAGAACGCTGTTGGACCGGCGGTGAAAGTCGGAACCGAGCACTCGCCCACCAGTGGAGCGTCTGGTCGAGCAGGTCTACCCGCTAAGGCAGCCTGAGCACGAACCAGTGGCAGGGTCCGATCAATGACCGTGGTCCGACCAGGGTGTCAGCGCAATGGCCAGTCAGAGGCGTCTTTAAGGGCGCAGAAGCCCACCTCGGTCGACTGTGGCCGGTGCAACCTAGTCAGGTCGTTTGTGTGAATCTCCGTGTTCTTCCCTCGCCTCAGAGTAGCCGCTCTTCTCCAAATGCCCGAGCCGTTTTCTATGTGTATTTGTCTTGTAGCGAACAGCAGAGTCGAGAAACGAATTGACAATGTCGCCGAAAGCCGCGGTCATATGCTGGCCGTCCCTAGTACTACCAATATGCCCGCAGGCGCGGCGAGAGACAAGCTCAACGTATGAGTCACCGTCCGGCTGCCGGGAGAGCCCCTACCGTGACCTTTGTTCACAGGCGTGACGTCACGACAATGGGCTCGTAAACGTACGGGCAGCGGCCGCCTCAGGGGTGCCGCCGTGACCTTTGCACGATATGTTCTAAAGCGTATGGCACAGCGGTTACTAGGAAGGTTGAGGCCAGCGGCAGGCCGGTTTACAAATAACAAACAAACTTGACGCGCAATTGACAACAGGTAACAGATTGATTAATAAAGCGGCGACAATTAATGAAAATGACAACATGAAATGACAAATCGCATAGATGACAAATCGCGTAGATGATCCCTACAGTACCCCCTCGCCAGACATGTCGCGGACAAAAGTGACATGGCGATATCTTACCGGAGGTCGTATGACGCGGCCGGAGCGGGTCGTCCGTAGTATCGGCTGAGGCTGCAATGGTGCAGCGTCAGCCCGAGCGACGGCTGCAGGGCGATTTGGTGCGTCACCGTAGATCAGAAGCTCCGGGCCGCTGGGCTCATTGCTGAGCGGTGGCGCGGCCGGCGGGCCGCTGGACTGAGTACCGTGCGGCTGCACAGTCGGCAGGTCAGACTGTCGATGACCGGATTCGTCTGGCGTCTCCAGGAAGGCGGCCTTACACCGGTCGATGCTGATGACCTCCTTTTTCTGTCGACGGTCGATGGTGATGGTTTTGGTGGTCCTTTCGGTAACCGGGAACGGTCCGTCGTATGGAGCGTCCAGCGGGTAGCGGTGACAGTCCCTGCGCACGAAGACGTGTGTCGCCGTCTGGAGTGCCGTCGGGACGTACGTGGCGCGCTGGACCGGACGTGGGAGTGTCGGCCGCACCTGAGACATGGCGCGCTTCAGGTCCTGTACGAAGCCGGCTGGTGATGCTGCTGAGGCTTGGCTGCTGATGAAGAACTCGCCGGGAAGCCGCAGTGAGGAGCCGTACACCAGCTCGGCTGACGTCGCCTGCAGGTCCGCCTTGATGGTGGAGCGTATGCCCAGGAGCACCAGCGGCAGCACGTCCGTCCATGACGTAGCCTGGTGTGCACGGAGGCTGGCCTTCAGCTGGCGATGCAGGCGTTCCACCATACCGTTGCAGGCCGGGTGGTAGGACGTCGTCCGAGTTCGCTGGCAGCCCAGGAATCGCTGTAGCTCCGACCAGAGGGCCGACTCGAACTGGGCACCTCGGTCCGTCGTGATGATGGACGGAACGCCGAATCGGGCGACCCAGTGCTCGAGGAAGGCGCGGGCGACCGTGGTGGTGCGGCTGTCCGGCAGAGGGATGGCTTCTGGCCACCGAGTGAACCGGTCGACGCACGTCAGGAGGTACGAGTGCCCTCTTGACGGAGGCATCGGGCCGACGAGGTCCACGTGGACGTGGTCGAAGCGTTGCTGAGGTGGCTGGAAGGTGCCGACGTCAGACTTGGTGTGCCGGCCGATTTTGCAGCGCTGACAGGCGAGGCAGGTTCGGGTCCAGCGGCGCACGTCGCGATCCATACCGGGCCAGACGAACCGCTTAGAGACGAGCTTGACGGTGGCCTCGACGCCAGGGTGCGACAGGTCGTGCAGAGCCTTGGCGAAGGGCCGGCGCAGCGCCTCTGGGAGGACCGGCCGAGGCGATCCGGTGGACTCGTCGCAGAGCAGACGGAGTCCATCGCCGACCGGAATGTGGCGCAGGCGCAGTGAGGTGTCTGAGGCCTCGAGGTCTTCCAGCGAGCCGTCTTCGGACTGGGCCTTGGCGATGGCAGTGAAGTCGGCGAGCGGGGGTCGCGGCTGGGCCACCATCGAGACCGTGCGTGACAGCGTGTCGGCGACCACGTTGTCCTTGCCAGGCACATGGCGGATGTCAGACACGAACTGGCCGATGTAGTCCAGGTGGCGGACCTCTCGCGGCGAGTAGCGGTCGGACGAGGAGCCGATGGCCGTTACCAGTGGTCGGTGGTCTGTGAAAATGATTGCTGACCGTCCTTCGATGGCGTGCTTGAAGTGCCGGACGGCCAGGTAGATAGCGAGCAGCTCGCGCCCGAACGTGCTGTATTTCTTCTCCGCAGGTTGGAGCGTTTTTGAGAAGAAAGCGAGGGGCTGCCACTCGCCGGCGACGTGCTGCTGGAGGACGGCGCCCACTCCGCAGTCCGAGGCGTCGACGAAGAGGGCGAGCGGCGCGTCCGGGACTTGGTGTGCGAGATGTGTCGCCGTGGCCAGGGCGTCCTTGACGTTCTTGAAACGCTGCCGCGCCGAGTCTGTCCACGTGACAGGCGCTCTCGAGCGTTTTGCCTTGTGGGTGATTAAGGCGTGCAGAGGCTGCAGGAGCTCGGCTGCCTGGGGGATGAAGCGGTGGTAGTAGGCTACCATCCCCAGGAACCTCCGTAGCTGGGACTGAGTGGTCGGTTCCGGGAAGTCTTTGATGGCCTCGACTCGTCCAGGCAGCGGGCGGACGCCGTCGGCGTCTACCGAGTGGCCGAGGAACACCACCTGCTCCTGTCCCAGGACGCACTTGTGCCTGTTGACGACGACGCCGTAGGTGTTGAGGCGCTGAAGCACTTGGTCCAGGAGCTGCAGGTGGTGTTCGGCAGTCGGGCTGGCCAGCAGAATGTCGTCCAGGTAGACGAAGCAGCCCGGTATGCCGCGGAGGACCTCATCCATGAAACGCTGGAAGGTCTGTCCGGCGTTTCTGAGGCCGAACGGCATCCGAACGCATTCGTAGAGGCCGAACGGTGTCGTGATGGCTGTCTTGGGGACGTCGGCAGGTTCCACCGGGATCTGGTGGTAAGCCTTCACCAAGTCAATGGTGCT